AGTGGAGTAAAAAGTACAAGTGTAAAGTAGCATGAAATGGAAATACTCAAAGCAAGTAAAAGTACATCAAATGTATAGTTTTGATGTAAAAAGAAAATGTATAAAATACTGATTGTTGTTTTGTGGGTAGCAGCTGATGTGGTGAGGCTGTTTGTTGTTGTCCTGTTGTTGTTGTGTTTTTGATGTGTTTACATGTTGTTATACGTGTCAGACATCTCTGCCTCCCTCTGAGTTTCACCGCGGTGAATCAGATCGGAGACGTCGCATTCTCATCGATGACGTGAACAGACTGGAGCTGGTTGTCAGTGGCTAAATGTTAGAAAAACCCCCCAAAAAACAGAGATCTCACCTCTCAGCTGTGGGCGGTGAGGATTTTACAGAAGAGAGAAAACTAGACATCAGACCTGGAAGCTTTGTTTACTCTGAGAAACAGCTGATTTATTGCAGAAATTACATCCTCAGTGATTCTTGTCTTTGTACAACAAACATCTGTGAGCTCGAGGGAATAAAAGATCAAATCACATTCAGATATTTGGCTGGATTTGGAGACTTGAAGATAATTATGTAAATGAACATTAACTTCCTTTAATACCTCAAACACTTTAAAGGTTTTTGGTCAATGCTGAGGTAACTTTCACCAGAGATAAATCACCTTTAAAATAAAGCAAATAATGAAATTAAACTGTAATTTTTTAGGATCATTTGTTGAATAAAGTCTCTACAGACCGACTGAGATTAATAAAATCACCGGAAAATGTCTTCTGCCTTCGTTTTCTTCTGTCTAAATTAAATTATATTCAATAGAAAACATAATTTAACTGCATTCGTGTGCCTGGATTTATTAATCTTTTTATTATTATTACAGGAGTCTCTAATATAAAGTTTATATTAAAGGGACAGTCCAACATTTTAGGAGCCACGTGAGAAGAGAAGACGGATTTCTGTTTAACATGTGTCCTGTTCAGAGACGTGTTTAGCTTAGCTTAGCACAAAGACTGGAAACAGAGGGAAACTGCTAGCATAGTTCCAACAAAAGTGCAGTACTTAGAAACCATTGTAATGTAGTTGTACTCCATCACAATTCAGAGGCCAATGTTGTACTTTTACTTCCCTACTTTTATTTGATTCCTTCAGTGACTCTTTTAGAATAATTATCTAATCAACATATAAAGTATGATTTATTATTATAGGATCTGATGAGACTATCCAGCTGAATATAAAGTGATAAAAAAAGAGCTCCACCAGCTGCAACTTCAAAGTGATGAACACATTAATGCAGCAATAATTATAATCCAGTAATATAATATATATTATTCTGCATAATTCACTTGTATTTTTACTTAGTTCGCTCGTCGCTGGTCAACAAATAGCTCATATGTGTCGAGTCCGTGCTGTTTAAACCACCACGTCTCACTTTAACACAGCTACAGGGGTAATCCTGATCTGTCACCCCAGTTAAAGCACAGAAAGGACATTTATATCCATCCTCTCCATCTTCCCAAAGTGTTGGACTGTTCTATTAACTACAGCAGTCACGTCTCTAATCTGATTCTACTGAGATCATGCAGAGACTCTATTGAGGCCCTTTGAATGTGCTTTCATATCATAAAGGTTCAGCTGCACTAAAGCAGGGTAACAACATTTAAGGCCCTGTGAGTAAGGGTGAAATCAAGGGCAACTGGACTTGGTTGAAGACACTCAAAGACGTTTTGCTGACTTCTTCAGTCGCAGCTGTTTAACATCTGTGGGCTCGTTATCAAGGTGATGGATACCGCTTGGTTTGTTTGTGCTCCTGGCTGTTGTAACAACAGTCTTTCAGACTCCATGCACCTCACGTGAGGCTAAATGTGACCATTTCTTCAGTCTCCTGCATTCAGAGGTGTCTCAGACCTCCTCCCCTGTTGAGACATGGTCTATCTACTCTGGTGCAAATGGCCACTTTCAAATCATCTGTCCAAATTATGGTCATTGTTGGCATCGAAAGAGTTGTCGTTCCAACAGCCAGGAGCACTAACGATTAGGGCTGCACGATTTGGAGAAAATTTATAATGGAACAAATGGTACTGAGTCTACTTGCTTAATTATCAAGGAATGCACGAAAAACTTAAATTGAAATGTGTATTTCTCAACTTGAACAAAGTGAAACAATATTAATAACAATAACAAGTAAAACAGATGTAAAAGAGAACAAAGGGAGCTCGTTGCTCTACAGAGGGGGCGGCTAGAAGCAGCACATATGGGCTCAATGTACATCTGTCTAATGCAGAGTCTCCATCCGCAACCTGGAGGAGGAACTGTACACGAGTGTATTATATAAAGAGTATAATGTTTATTTAATAATTTACTGTTAGTATAACAATAATATATTAAATACTACATTCATTAGAATTTATTTAATATTAAAACCACAGCTGTTTCATTTCTGTGGGTTGTTTTTTTAAAATTTAATCTTTGTACAAGTAAAAGCTTCTACATCGGTCTCTAAACTTGTCAGTAATCATATTCTTCAACATTTAATGATTTGCTGAAGTATGCCAAACTTTTCCAGGCTGTGATTGAACATGTTGAACAACAAAAGGCACCGATAAAGCGAACGTTAAATGGCAGAGAGCCAAATCTTCCTTTTCTTCTCCCAGTTTTCTTCTGTCTGACCAGTTCAGCTGCAGACAGCTGCTGTCGTCTCTCTGTCACAGAGCGACCGGAGCACCCGGCATTTCTCTCGGTTCTCCGGTGACGAGTCAGACTATGTTTTGAATGATTGGCGGGGCGGAGATTACGATAGGTTGTTGTGTCTTAAAAGTTACTCACACACTGCTCATGTCTCATTTTTCTCATTGCACTGTAGGCCTGTCTGTTTTTAGAGGCACATGCGAGAGGCCGGTGTGGGCGGAGATAATGAGCAGACACACACACTATTATTGTTTTATTAAATCGCACACTGTTTGCGGTTATGTAATCGCACATGACCACATCGCGATTAGATTAATCGTGCAGCCCAACTAACGATCCAAGCGGGATCTATGGCCTTACTAACGACCTCACAGAGGTTAAACAGCTGGGGCTCCCTGCCAGTAAGTCAGAAGAAGCCTGTCTGACGAGAGGCGAAATGTTTTCAAGCATCTTCACGCAAGTCCAGCTGCCCTCGATTTTAACCTTCCTTGGATAATTATGACCTGGATGGCTGAGAACCTTCACAGACATTGAAGGCCCCAGATCCGGATTTTATCTGAGCCACCTGCTTGTTTTATTGTTTTTATTCTCATTCTATTTGTTATGTTACTTTGGCCCTCATGCATTTTTATCATTTACAGTGGAATTTTATTTCACCTTGTCTCTGCGAAGCACTTTGTTTTGATAAGTGCTAAGTTTAATTATGGTTTCACTTATTTAGCGTCTCAGGTTACAGGCAAAATATAATTAGAACATTTTTTATTGTGTATGTGTTTGACAGGCATTTCCTTGGACTGAGTCTCGTAAAGCTTCAGATAAAGTGCAGATAGTTACAATAACTTTGCTTAAGTACAGCAGTACAAAGTTAACCTCACTGACAATCTACACACTGATCAGAAAATTGTACACTATAGTGGATGCAACCAGATACTGTCTGCAAACTACCTTCTGTATCAGATAGATGTGTCAAACTACAGAAACAGAAATGTGCAGTAATCTTAAAGGCGAGGGCCACTTTGTGCAGGAAATGGAGCTAAAAGTCTTAAAGGGAAACACACACTTTAGTCTATAAATGTTGTATTTACTGACTGAGCTTCTATTTAGCAACTTGTAGTTTATTGTACGGAAGCCCTAAGAGGCCACACATGCATTTTATTTACTTGGGTGGTGATGGAGCAGTGGATAAGACACCTGCCTTTGGTGTGAGAGACCCGGGTTCAATCCCCCACTGTGACACATCCACCATTGTGTCCCTGAGCAAAACACTTAACCACTAGTTGCTCCAGAGGCGTGCGACCTCTGACATATACAGCAATTGTAAGTCGCTTTGGATAAAAGCGTCAGATAAATGTAAATATACTCTGTTTTCCTGTAATAACAAGTTAATTTAATTTGTTTTTCAAGTTATTTATGTCGTTGTCTCAAAATAACAAATGTTGTTTTCCAGAGAAACACGTTCTCACTCGCGACTCGTCACATATTGACACTTGGTCAAGGGCCTTTGCCGTTGACTTTTAACAACCTAGGTACGCCTTTTGCAAAGACTTTCAAAATAAAATGCTAGCATTTCGAAACATCGCCATTTTGAAACGGCGCGTTATAAAGGTTGTGAAACTTTGCAGTTTGGTTAGGTTTAGGCACAAAAACTACTTGGATAAGGTTCGGAAAAGATCCTGGTTTGGGTTAAAATCACTACGTACGTCAGTTAACACGGAAGTTAACTAGCGTCACTTACGTCAATTTACATAACTTGCCTAAATAAAAATATTTAATGTTGACTTTTTGTTTCACACGGGACACAAACGATCTCCTGTTTCAAAGTCCAGGTTCTGGCCCTCCATCCACCCCCCCAACCATGTCCTTACTCTGTCTTTTCTGTTAAATATCTTATTCCTACCTTTACCATCAAAAACTGACGTTACAGTGCTTCCACCACTGCGTTGAACTGTGACGGTAAAGGGATCCCAAGTGCGTTACAAACTGACAACTATGGCCATATGTGACGAATCAGGGAGTGAGAACGGGTTGTCCCGAGATAACAGGATAATTTTTTCAAAGATCTCGAGATAACAAAACTTTGTTTTTCCAACATAAATAATTTGAGATCTTGAGAAAACAATAATGAATTAAATGTGATACGCCGCAGATAAAGCTGTAGCCGATAAAGCTTTGCTATATCTCCCTGGGTGACGCACGCTAATGTGCTTTATTGTTCATAATTAATTTGTTGATGAGGGATAGAAAAAATATGTGATGCCAAACTTACTTGCCGTCCCCTGTACTAGGCGATCGTTTTGTTTTCTCGAGATCTCAAGAAAATGATCCCGTCATCTTGTGAAAACAACATTTTATATTCTGAGAAAATGACATAAATAACTCAACAAATTAAATTAACATGTTATCATTATATGTATGGCCTCCTAGGGCTTCCGTATTATAGAATAACAAGAGCTCAGAAACTAAAGTGCTCTACAGTAGAAACTATGGCCTTCTTTTCCTGTCGCCTGCTGATTCGTTCGTTAAAAAGTGCAAATAAGAAGCTGAAAAGTTGCATATTATCAACTGCACGCTCCTGCTGCTGAGCGAACATCAGATCCGTGGATGTTGGATATGCTGTCATGGTAACGGCAGAGGCACCAGCACGTCCACGTAGCTGACGGGGAACAGTCCCGATTGGCCGGCGAGCGTGCCCTCGTACCAGTTGGCGTCAACCTGATTGGTGAGGACGATGACGTCGCCCTCGTTGAAGTCCAGCTCGCCCTCATGGTTCGGGTGGAAAGAGTACATCGCCCGGCAACAGGGCTGATCCAGGACCAGCTTACTGTCAGCTGGGCGGGAGACAGAGAGGGAGGGAGAAGGAGAGCATCATGGGAAAAAGTTTAATGAAAAATGTCATTATCTATTTCCTATTTGAGACTGTTAGAACACAAACCTGACATAAAATAAAATAACAATGGCATTATAAATCTGTTACCCTGTTCTACCCTGACTTCTTTAACCCCTCCCATATTTAGAAACTAGTTGTGTAACAGAAGGTTTTCCACAACATGGCAACAACGTCTGGCTGCATTATTCACTCCAGACACATGAACCTATGCTGGACCTGGTTTTATAGTTATGCTGCATGTGGACCACAGATATCTGTCAAGCAGAACCTCTGATATTACTGTACATATGACGCAGGTTCTGTTGTTCTAGTCTGAGCTGTACTGGCAGCAGTCAGTTCAATGAGTTTGGTGTGCTTAGTAATAACAATTAAATACTGTTACTTTGCATCATCTGCAGTTTGTTCTTATGTTTAGCTGACAAACCACTGGATCAAACAAAACTGGATCAAAATGTCCAAGGACGGTTAAAAATCAAGGGCAACTTGGACTTGGTAGAAGATCCTTGAATACAACCTGGTTCGTTAGTGCTCCTGGCGGTTTGACAACAGTTGTTGGAGTGACGTGCGTACAAAGTCTGAACAACTGGCGTTGGCATTTTCACATGAGGCCAAATGTGAGTGTTTGTTCAGTCTCCTGGGAAGAGATGAAAGGGCAGCATTGTAGGGGGGTCAAACCTACACTCACCTAAAGGATTATTAGGAACACATGTTCAATTTCTCATTAATGCAATTATCTAATCAACCAATCACATGGCAGTTGCTTCAATGCATTTAGGGGTGTGTCAAGACAATCTCCTGCACTCCAAACTGAATGTCAGAATGGGAAAGAAAGGTGATTTAAGCAGTTTTGAGCGCGGCACGGTTGTTGGTGCCAGACGGGCCGGTCTGAGTATTTCACATCTGCTCAGTTACTGGGATTTTCACGCACAACCATTTCTAGGGTTTACAAAGAACGGTGTAAAAAGGGAAAAACATCCAGTATGCGGCAGTCCTGTGGGCGAAAATGCCTCGTTGATGCTAGAGGTCAGAGGAGAATGGGCCGACCGATCCGAGCTGATAGAAGAGCAACTTTGACTGAAATAACCACTCGTTACAACCGAGGTATGCAGCAAAGCATTTGTGAAGCCACAACACGCACAACCTTGAGGCGGATGGGCTACAACAGCAGAAGACCCCACCGGGTACCACTCATCTCCACTACAAATAGGAAAAAGAGGCTACAATTTGCAAGAGCTCACCAAAATTGGACAGTTGAAGACTGGAAAAATGTTGCCTGGTCTGATGAGTCTCGATTTCTGTTGAGACATTCAGATGGTAGAGTCAGAATTTGGCGTAAACAGAATGAGAACATGGATCCATCATGCCTTGTTACCACTGTGCAGGCTGCTGGTGGTGGTGTAATGGTGTGGGGGATGTTTTCTTGGCACACTTTAGGCCCCTAGGTGCCAATTGGGCATGGTTTAAATGCCACGGCCTACCTGAGCATTGTTTCTGACCATGTCCATCCCTTTATGGCCACCATGTACCCATCCTCTGATGGCTACTTCCAGCAGGAGAATGCACCATGTCACAAAGCTCCAATCATTTCAAACATGACAATGAGTTCACTGTACTAAAATGGCCCCCACAGTCACCAGATCTCAACCCAATAGAGCATCTTTGGGATGTGGTGGAACGGGAGCTTCGTGCCCTGGATGTGCATCCCACAAATCTCCATCAACTGCAAGATGCTATCCATCAATATGGGCCAACATTTCTAAAGAATGCTTTCAGCACCTTGTTGAATCAATGCCACGTAGAATTAAGGCAGTTCTGAAGGCGAAAGGGGGTCAAACACAGTATTAGTGTGGTGTTCCTAATGATCCTTTAGGTGAGTGTATGTCGAGAGGTTGTCTATCTACTCGGTTGTACGTGCACTCTTTGACTCCTCTTTGGAAATGTCCTCCCTGTCCCAAATCCAGCTGCCCTTCATTTTAACCTTCCTTGCAATAATAATTACACTGTGGCGTTGTGCTGTGTGATGGAACTGCACATTTTGGAGTGGTCTTTTATTGTGGCCATCCTGAGGCATACCTGTGCAATATTATCTGGGCAGAGGAGAAGTGCTCACTAACACAGATTTAGACAGATTTGTGAAGAATATTTGAGAGAAACAGGCCTTTTGTGTAGATAGAGAAAGTCTTAGATCTTTGAGTTCAGCTCATGATGAATGGGGGCAAAAACAAAAGTGTTGCCTTTATAATTTTTTTCAGTATTTGACCTGGATGACTGGAAGAATGTTCACAGACATTTCTTGTAAGATGACAGAGAGATGAAAAGGACAGCATTGTTGGTGGGGGATGAGTGGTTTCTTAGCCCTCCCCCCAGTTTAGATATGGTCTCTCTGCTCTAGTGTAAATGGACTCCAGGAGCCGGGAGCACCAAGTGGTCTCCATCACCTTGATAATGACTCCACAGAGGTTAAATAGCTGGGACTCCCTGCCAGTCAGCCAGAAACATCTTCAAGCATCTTCTACCACATCAAACCAACCAGTTAGTTTTCCTCTTTAAAGTCTTTCCTCTTGTGAACCAGAAGCAACTGTTTGATAAAGTATGCCGTGTGTCGCTTGTGGAAGTTGTTTGTGGACGTCAGTTCTTTCTCACCGTAACAGGAGATGGGGCTGCCGGGTCTGGACGGTAACACTGTGAACTGCTCACCTGTCACAGAAAGATTGGCACAATCCTTACACATATTTCACTCCGGAGAAATGTAAAGTGATCATAATTCAAGTAACAACTACAGTAGGAGTTACCTAAGGGAACTGTCTGCGTGATAGACGGTTGGTGGTAACATCCGATGCTGCCATTGCGTTCACGTCTGACTCTGATCTTTTTGGGCCTGAACTGTCGCTCTGGTTTGTTACTGGCAGCCATCAGCCTGTTCCACAACAAATACAGAACTTTTAAAACTGAAAGCAAGAGCATTAAAACCTGAGTGAGAGTCAACATCCACCTCAGCATCTGGAACTCAAAATCTAACGAGTCAATTACAGTGAAATTTATATTCACACACAGTTTATAAACTTTTTACACTTGATAACCAACGGACAGATTGTTGTGGGTACTCGTGGTCACCAAGTGTAGAATCTTATTGATTTTGGTGATACTGGGATCTTCCCTCTGGAGGGATGTGGTAGGTGATGAAGACGGTGGCTCACTTTGCCTGCAGGTTGCCATGCAGACCCAGCAGGACGCGGTGGGCGTTGCGGTGAAAGTCCAGCAGCGCAGCGATCAGAGCGGCCAGATGACCGAGCTGATCGACCTGCAGGAGGAAACGTCAGGACAGCCGTCAGTCTGGATCTGTTTCTCTCCAACACAAGGATTTTAACCAAACTTAATGAAGTGATGAATCATTTTGTTGTTAAGTTGTTTAAGATTTACAGCCAGTCCTGGGTGTCTGAAGTTGACTACATACAGTAGACCTTCGACTGGATGAAGTCTCAAATGTTAAAAAATAATATTTTAATCACGTTTTCTCTCACTTGGATTGCTCTCGAGAACGGACACTGCTCCTGTTCAGTTCTAGCATTTTCAAAATGCACTAATCAGATGAAGCTGATTTGATTCTGATGAAAAAGAAAGGAATTGTGCATCTTTCTGTCCCTACCTGCTATTTTAAAATTATATTTATTGGCCAGAGGTGGGCGCTAAAATGTTCCTTTACTAACTGGACTTTGCCAAATCTCAGCACCTGGATGAGAGGATTAGCAAAGACTACCGGACTCTGTTTAGAGAAGGTTTTTCCATTCCAGCGATTGCTAGAAGCCTAAACTCTAACTTCTTCTGATACCTACAGGAGTTTTGTCACATTTCTCTCCGTCTCTTGAGGCCCAACAGAACAGCTGGATGGTATCATGTTTGAAAACTGAACTGGCAAAAGGTTATGGAATCTGTTCTATGCGAGACAACATGCAGCCGCATCTCTTTACTCAGACCACATTAATCTGCACTGGAAATGGGAACCGGGCTCTCTGATATCAGAACTGTCTCGACAGTATCTTGTCTATCTTGTCTTCTAATTATGACTTCCGCATCTCATAGGACACAGAGCTGTCAAAATGTCCGACCCTCTTTAAATTCGATGGTCTCATTTGGAAATCAGCTGTCAAAATAAATCATGCAAAAACGTTTGGAAGGAACGTTTGCTGTGCCGAAAATGGCAGCTGTCTCCTAATCAGGTCACAGAATCTGATGGGTCACAGAACACACTGTAACACCTGTTGTCTCCTAATTATGAGCTCTTGTCTCCTAATGAGGGGATACAGAGGTATTATTACTAGATTATGTCTCCAATACCTTCCCCAGCAAGTGGTCATCTTAATTCCTTCAGGGTTACTAATAATTATTAACTAACTAGTAATGTTGGGAAATTAAATAAAGGTGTCATCAAATGATTGGGATCAGTTCCTGACAGCTGGTGTCTCACTTCAGTCCGTTACTGTCAGACTCACGTCGCTCTGCAGCAGGACGAACATACTCCTCTCCGCCTGCTCTTTGGAGGTGATGAACTTGTTCCAGGCCTGTCGGACCTCCTCCGCTGGGACTTTCCCTCTCCGTCTCCTCTTGTAGTCGAAGTCCAGCCGACGGCCATTCAGCTTCTTCAGCTGGTACTGAGGAACCAACCAGAACAAAGAAACTGTTATGAGTTTAGTTTCGGATGATGTTTTTTGTATTTTTCCCGGTGTGTTTCTGGTTTTTGCCATTGTTTTATGTGTCTTTCTATTTGTCTCTGTTTCTCTCGCTCCTTGTCCTAAGATATTTATGTCTGGTCTCTTATCTTAGGTCTCTTGGCCTCAGTTCTTAGTTCTGTGCTTTAGTTCATGTTTGTCTTACTTACTGTGTACTTCTGTATTATTTTGACCATATTTGCTCTATTTAATCTTAGTTCAGTCTGTTTTCCCTGTTAGTGGTAGTTTATTGGTATATTTGTGATCAGTTTTTTATATTATTGTTTATTCCTGGTTATTATTCGTTTCCCTACGGACTTACTGGTGCTGTCTCTCTGCCTCCCTGTGTCTCATTAGTCCTGATCCGCCCTGCTCGTTAGTCCCTGTGTATACATGCCTGCTTGTGTCTTGGTCACGTCCTCCTCGTCGTCTGACTTTGAGTGTTCCGCTTTGTTCTCTGTGTTATGTGGATTTACTCTTTGTTGGATTTATCTCTGTTCTGGATTCTGCTTTGTTTGGACTTTTTGCCTCAAGCTTCCACATAAGCCGGTTTAGTTTATTTGAATAAACTTTATTTTGAACTGCATCCTCCTCTCGCCTTGCCGTTGTCTGCATTTGGGTCCACACTCCTCAGTTCCCTGCCGCTTCACTCAGCCAGCCCGTGACAGAAACACAGATAAGGTAACTCAATATTTGGACAAAATTCATTGTTCATATCTGAGAGTACCGTAGTTACATTTTTGCTAAAGTTGGACAAACTTTCATTAGTATCTCACTGAATCTCTGAAGCCAACGGTATGAACGTGAAGTTGTCGATGGTGCTGAGCCTCCTCTCACCCTGATCTCCTTCAGCTCCGTGTCGTGGAGGTCCTGCAGAGGGTCGATGAAGGTGCGTTTGACGTTGACATCCAGAACGTCCCTGGCCTGAGCAACCTGCTGCAGAGCGTCACCCACATCAGTCAGAGCGCCGGCTGAACCACCAGAGGACGAGAGGAGGAGGAGGATGAACAGAGAAAAAATAAACATCAACCCATTTTCCTGTTTTCTTTGAGTATTTCTGCAGGGGGGGGGATTGTTAACAGAATTTTCCAAAAACAAATTATTTTAAATATACTTAAAAATCTGAAAACAAATGTTCAACAATTGAATTTATTTAACTGTATTTTATTCTGTAATATCCTTAACTAGATTCAGTAAGAACACCACAAAAAATAAGCATCCAAAAATTAAGTGTACATCTCAGTCAGTTTTAGAGAGTTCATAATCTGGGATTTAGTTTTTTTCTATCTCAGTTTGCTTTTGTTTGTTGTTTGCATGGTTCTTATTGAAAGTATAGAACAATTACAACTGACCCACTGGACATCTCTGGGGCTGGTTGTACAGAAACAGATTTAATTCATGTTTCATTGGGGCTCATTAACTGTGTTTTATAAGACTTTTAAAACCACAAAATAAAGAATAAAAGCTGCCAGTATACCGAATTCAGAAGCAGCTCCCAGCTCCTGGCCGTAGCGCAACATACAGTCTCCCAGCATGCCCTCTGTCTGCGGGTAACCCGTCCACTTTCCCTGTCCTCGAATCCTGGACATCGTGCTGAGCATGCTCAGTTTCGCTCTGTAGGCTGTGACGACACAAAGACATTAGATTCATGAACACGAGATGGTTCTGAAGTTGTTGGTGATCAACTGATCAATGATTTTAACTGTAGTTGATTGTTTTTCTGCACATTGAAACGTTAATTTTGAAACTGTTGAGAGGGTCTCGAGAGGGAAAAATACCGAAGCTTGTTGCCTTTTATTATGCCATTTAATCTTTAAGTATCACTACTTATAAAGAACGCTGAATTTTATATGAATGAATGAAACTTTTGACACTGTATCAAGCGTGCACCATGGAGCCTACACGTTCATGCACGCTAGAACCAGACTGCTAATTAAAAATCCCCAAAATTAGTGAACCAACTTGAGCAACTTCGATAATCAAATCCTCAGACCTTTATCGTCTACAACAAAATTTACTATATAATACTGGAGAGTTAAATAAATAACAGTTATCAAATTTTCCTTCCCTTCCAGGCGTTTGAGACAAAGTAAGTTCACTTAAACACGTCAAAATTAAACAACTGTTCCAGTTTTTGATCGTTTTTACGAGAATCTTTCAAGACTTTGTCAATTTTAGATATTTTAAAACCACTTATTTTGGTATTTCAATGTGTGATAGAAAATGTTGCCACGAGCAAGACTTTAAACCTCTTTGGTCCACTAATTATTATTTAAATAAAATAAAAAAACAAAACTTCCCTTTAAAACCTGATTTGAACAGCACAAAAGGGAACGAGAGTCACTTTCCACTTCACCCAAATCACACAGCTCACACCATCAGTTTTCCTCCTGAGAATTTCTGAATACCTCTCTGGGAACCATCACCTTATCGTGGTGGAGAGGTTTGCGTGCCCCGGTGAGCCTGGAGGCTGTGTTGTCTGGAGCCTAGTGCTCCTGGCAGGGTCTCCCAAGGCAAAGTGGTTCCAGGTGAGGGGCCAGACTGAGAATGGGTTATAGACACCTGAGGAAAAAACAAGGAAGAGGAGGAGAGACCCTGCCCGGAGGAAGCCCGGGGCCCCCGTCTGGAGCCAGGCCCGGAGGGAGGGCTCGCCGGCAAGCGCCTGGTGGCCCGGGTTTGCCACGGAGCCCGGCCGGGCACAGCTCGAAAAAGCAACGTGGCACCCCCCTCTCCGTCCTTTGGACCCACCATCCTTAGGAAGATCCACAGGGGTCAGGTGCGCTGCCACATGGGTGGCGGTGAAGGTCAGGGGCCTCGATGGACCAGACCCGGGCAGCAGAGTCTGGCTCTGGGGACGTGGAACATCACCTCTCTGTGGGGGAAGGATGGAGCGCTACCACTTAGATCTGGTGGGACTGACCACGTACAGTCTCGGTTCTGGAACCGTACTCCTTGACAGGGGATGGACACTATTCGTCTCTGGAGTTGCTCAGGGTGCGAGGCGCCGGACGGGTGTGGGGATACTCACAAGCCCCCGGCTGACCGCCGCTTCGTTGGAGTTTACTCCGGTGAACGTGAGGGTCGCCTCCCTACGCCTTCGGGTAGAGGGAGGGGGGAAACTCTGACTGTTGTTTGTGCATATGCACCAAACAGCAGTTCAGACTATTCGGCCTTCTTGGAGACCCTGAATGGAGTTCTGTATGTGAATGGGGCTCCAGTAGGGGACTCCATAGTTCTGCTGGGAGACTTCAACGTGCATGTGGGCATGCTCCCTTATCTCCCTTATCTCCCTTATCTCCCTTATCTCCCCTTAGAGATAGGGTGAGGAGCTCGGCCATCCGCGAGGAGCTCAGAGTCGAGCCGCTGCTCCTTTGCGTTGAAAGGAGCCAGTTGAGGTGGTTTGGGCATCTGGTAAGGACGCCTCCCTAGGGAGGTGTTCCAGGCACGTCCAGCTGGGAGGAGGCCTCGGGGAAGATCCAGGACTAAGTGGAGAGATTGTATCTCCACACTGGCCTGGGAACGCCTCGGGATCCCCCAGTCAGAGCTGGTTAATGTGGCTCGGGAAAGAGAAGTTTGGGGTCCCCTGCTGGAGCTGCTGCCCCCACGACCCGACCACGGATATGCGGGTGAAGATGGATGGATGAATTTCTGAATAACACCAGCTTCCTCTTCAGTGACGTTTTACTTTAGTTAGACTGTAAAATACAGAGTTCATGAAGGATAAGATTCTGCTTTGGCTCTCTCCCTGTGACTCGTTGTGTTTATCACGGCTGTTTCTCTCTGTACCTGGGTTTGGTTGGAGGAACTCGGTTGTTTTGGACAGCAGCTCGTCCAGCAGAGAGTGGAGGACGGCGACACTCTGATGGAGAGAGAGAGAGAGACACAGGAAGTCAGCTGTGATCAGACGGAGATCTCTGCGTGAGCACAGTCACAGTTTTACCTTCTCCATCTTCAGGAAGTCTTTGTCCATCTTTGTTCCTTCAGCTCCCATCAGCCTCTCGTTCAGCAGCTGCAGGAAGAGTTGGGGAAGTAAGCATTAGCACCGATCAGAATCAGAATCAGCTTTATTGCAAAGTACATTTTCACATCAGATGAATTTGCCTCGGTGTATTGGTGCACAACAATAGAGAGAATTATTAGGTGTCATTTACACTGAAGACGCTTTTTGCCACCACTTTTTGAAAGCTTTTGTTAAAACTGTTAGCTTGCAACAAGAAATGTTAAACAACAAATGAAAATGCTTTTATAAAGGTGTTTTTGCACAATAAGAAAACATGCAATGCAATTAAAATATAGAAGAAACAAATGTGCGTTGAAGTAACGAAAGAAGTAACTTAACCTAAAAAAACAAGCCAGGGATTTTTGAAATTATATTGCATTATATTTTTATATTTTGAATTGCCACCTGAGTCTTTCTATAAATGAAACCATTCCACCATAAATTGGTGCAAATGTCTCCAGAATGCAGGAAAGGATCCCCAGACGCCCCAATCATATATTTCAGAATTGAATATTTCTTCAAAATAGCGTTCAAATATTTTCTCATCTTGTTCTCATGAACCCAGTATGGTGCATCGTCACATGTCGTCAGCTAATCGCATCGCCTGATCTGAGACCTTTCAGCTCGCCTCAGAGAGAATAAACAAAAAGGTAAAAGTGTTGAAAAGTCAAGAAGCATAAATAAACATAAAAAGAGAAGAAATCACATAAACACTATGTTGTATATATTTTGCACATCACTGCACAAACTGCCATATTGCACATATTCCTTATTATTCATTTATCTTTTGTCAATTTTGTTTTATATATTTATATATTTATATATCTCCCCCTGTATTATGCTTGCACAACACAAATCCGGCCACATTATTTTTTCTTTTACACATAGTTATGAACTTGCACATCTTTTTATTCCTTATTTACATATTGTTAAATTTATTTATATCAACTGTATGTTTGTGTTTATGTCTAGCACCTAATCACCAAAGCAAATTCCTTGATCGTGTGAAATACTTCTTGGCAATAAAGCCTGATTCTACTGGATTATAGCAGTGAGATGGAAAGTACTTGTACTCAAATCCTCTACTTAGCCACAATTTTTAGGTTCTCTTTTCCATTTTATACTTTATTCTTCTTTTTCTGAGGTTATGTACTTTTTAACTACTGGTGGAAAGTAACTCAGTGCATTTACTCAAGTAGGCTTCCTGTACTTTGCTTGTGTTTTTCCATTTTATGCTGCATTATACTTCTACTCCGCTAAGTTTCAGAGAGAAATATTGTACTTGACCAACTACAACTTTAAAGTAGGCTCACTGTTCAAGTTAATAGATAAAAAATAAACAATGTTACATAAACAATAATGATCCAAGACTAATACTAACATCCTGACAGAGGCCGTTCTGCAGAATGTGTGTTTTTACTTTTAATACTTTAAGTACATAAAGGTTCTTAAGTAAGTTTTAGTTTTAAAGGCAGGACTTTCACTTGTTATAGAGTATTTTTATAGTGAGATACTTTCACTTAAGTAAACAGACCTTCTCTAAATACTTCTTACACCACTGTAGCACCAACTGTACTGTGCAGTATTGTAGTTTTGTGCGAGCCGTGGTAACATTAGTTGTAGTAGTAGTATTAATAGCAGTAACATTAGGATAGACCTATAGTACTAGTCCTTATAACAGCAGCTGTTAGTAGTAGTACTGGCAGTGGTAGTAGTAGTCGGTAGTATAATTAAAATCATTAGCAGTTGTAGTACTAGTAGCCTAGTAGAAGTACAAGTATGGTATACCACAACAGTAGTAGGATGATATTTGGAAACATAAATCACAGGTTACTTCTGTTATCATTAAAGCCGATCACCTGCTGGATCGATATTTATGCTGATAGCCTGTAATGATCTGAAGGATCGATACTGATGTGTGGACCAGCAGGCCCTGTGTCGCAGTAAATCTCAATGCCTCAGCAGTCCGGTTTAGCCCGGTTCGGCCCGGTTACCTGGCTGGCTTTGTGGAGCTGCTTCTTCATCCCGGAGACTGACATCTTCACCGGAGGACACGAACACCGGCCGGCAGGGGATCAGCGGGGCTGCCGCCGGGTACCGACCACCTCCATCCCGTCTGAGAAGCTCCTTCCCCCGCAGAGAGTCGCTGCACCGAACCGCTCCGCCGGCTGGAGCCTCCGGGACCGGAACTGTTTACTGTTAACTTATTGTTATAATAATAATAATAATTATTATTATTATAGATAAAGCCTATTGTTGGCTTTATTTTTAGCCCTTTAGGGTTTAATGTTGTTATTATTATTATTATTAATAAACGTTTAATTTTACAGGGGGTTCTTAAAAAAAAATTAGTATGAATTTGTATTTACCTAAATTAAGCTTGTTGTATATTGGTATGTATTATTATACGGTCTGTTTCAGGTGTTATTACCTTATAGGATTTATTGTTCAAGATGTTTTATTGCAATAAAAAGTATAGTTTTCTTATTTTATTCCCTCAGTCATCCCAGGGGATGTGTTTATTTGTAGCGTGCTGCCTTCAGGTGCTGGTGGAAATGTTGGATTTAACAGAAAGAAAACATTATTGGGAAACGCGATCATAGAAATCCGGGAATTATTAACCTATTTTTATTTATTTATGTAGAATTAAGATTTCCAAACCAAAACACATCCATTAGCTCTTTTTACCACTCATTATTTTACTGCATTTTGTTCTCCAGATATTTATACAAACATAATTTTAGATGTTATCTTATAAAAAAATCAAATCAAATATAAAATCAATCGGTTTTAATTTGATTTAGATTTTTTTGTTGTATCCTGCTACTGTTTCCTGCCGGCTCTCTCACCTGTAGGCTGTTCACGCTGATTCTCGAGTGTACTTCATTTCCCATGAGCAGCAGCGCCATCTGTGTGTCACATGACTCTCCCACCCTAACGTCACCAACCGCCAACATGGCCGCCGCCGTCTCCAGCGAAGATTTCAACACCTTGCAGCTCCTCCTGAAGGTACTGATCCCCGATATCAACACGTTTTAAAACGCAAACTGTTGCTGTTGATTTTATTTATGTTGTCTTGAGTTTGTTGTTTTATAAAAACAGCGGAATATTTACCGCGGAGCTAAACGTTAGCATGCTAAGGTTAGCATCAGAGCTTTCGGACAGGGTGCAGGAAGGTGGAGGAAGTCTTTTACTTGAGTAAAAGTACTAATAACTCACTGTAGAAATACTCTGGTACACGTAAAAGTACAGTACTTGGTTAAAAATACTTAGTGTCCGCCACTGAACAGGATGTACAGACTGTGTTTAACTGATTTGTGTGTCATTAGTTTGTGTTCAGATCCTTTACTGAAGTTAAAGCACTAATGTCACACTGAAAATAATAAAAATAATCTATGTATTATCAGCTAAATGTAAGTAAAGGTACTCACAGTGAAGTCAAGTGTGTCACCATTATATCTGATGTTTCTGCATTAATAGAGTTAAAATTTTCAGTGAAACCAAACAGAAAAACAAAATCAACATCTTAACAAGCTGAATGAAAGCTGGGCAGCTCAGCGGGTCACGTGACCGCGGTGTCTCCAGCTGTGTTGTTGTTGTTGTTGATGATGCTGAGCTGTTGTTGTCTCCCGAGGCTCCATCTAAAGACGCAGTGAGGGACGTTTGCATTCAGAGTCACAGAGGTCCCAGTCGCCGGCTAGCAGAGACCACAGCCTCCACGCTGAGCATCCCTGCAGCCCAGGCTGCACAGGTAACTATGGCTGCAACTAACGAGTCCATTAATCTATCGATTATTGAAACGAATAATCGACTATTCGGAATATGAATAGCAAAATTACACAATTCGTCTTACTTAGCGATCAGCTTTTAAATTAAACTTGAGGTTGTTTTAGGCACGTGCTATTTAACAGTCACAACAATAAAATAAATACTGCTTTCAAAAATGCATCTTTTAATGAACGTTTCTGCAGCAGCAACAGAAAGTTCCTCTGAAATCAAGTCCTGATCTGATCTGCTGTTTAGTGAGGGAGCAGTTTACACGCCAGTGCTGCGACACACCGGGACAAACTGACACCACAAAGAAAGAAAGGAATAACGTCATGCATTACATTTGCTGACTTTACAGGGGGGTCAGTAAGTATTATAATAATTATTAATTAACGATTAACGACACTGCAGTTCACGACCTTTCTGGCTGAGTGAAACGTTGCCACACTCTGCAGGTTTGAGGTGGTGAAGGTGTTACTGCAGCGCTGATGTTGTTTTAGCAACTTTACTGCTCACGTCACTTTACTCCGTTAAGCCGACGGTGTCCTTACGGCCCGATGACGTCATGGACGAATCATGAATTTAATAATGATTCGATTTTTGTCCATTACGTCGATTAGTTGTTGCACCCCTACAGGTAACACCCACCTGGATGTTCAGACTGTCAAACCTGTATTCAGCCTCTCGATGTGAACAAACACCAAACGGATCACACCTGGAAACTTTCAGACCACAAACATTTTCACCTGTAACACCTGTTCAATGTTAATGCAGCGCTCTGTAACCCATAATAATCTGAACACTGTCTGCAGTGAATAACAATAAACTAAATAAAATCCACACTGGTGACGACGATGCGGTTGACCTGATGTTTTCACCTGTTCAGGTGTCGGACCTCAGAACAAACAGATTAAATATCTGTGTGTTTCCCCTCCAGCTGGTTCAGTCTCTCCACCGTCTGTCTCATCACGTCCTCTTCAACAACCTCAGCTCTCCCGAGCAGATCCTCGCTCTCTTCCCCGAGTCGTTCCACACCAGTCTGAAGAACCTGATCACCAAGATCCTGCTGGAGAACAGGTGAGCTCAGGTGGAGCTTCACACCCACAGAAACGTTCAGACAGACAAGCGGTTCAGGTTCATGTGTGGATTTACAGCAACATTAACAGCTTTGACACCTGTCAGCTGGGAGGTGAACAGTGTGTCCTGATGGTGGGCGTGGTCTTTGTGGCGTTTCCTCTGCTTCCCGATGCTCAGCATGATTCGTTTTGTTGCCTCCGTTTGCGTCTTATTGTCTCATGCTTGTAATTTCTCATCGCCTCACTTTGCTGGTTTTGGTGACAGCAGGACAGAAATGTTGACTGATGCGCGTCTTCGTTTGACTTTCAGAACAACAAGGCGTCTAAAATTGTGCCTGGATTTTCTTTTAAAGACAAATGATGACAAAGGATGTTTCTGGATGTGGAACAGGACGAGTTAATGAGCCACACATCAATGATAATAAAATAAAGACCCAGTTATCGTTTATGGGGCCCTGGCTTGCACAAAGCGCAGCGCAGGAGTCATTGCTAGTTTCTCAACCCACGTCGTTTAAATAGCAAATGCACTTGCGCCCCCGAGAATGTTGGTCTTAAAATAACTACATTTTTTTTTGTTTTGCTGCATCATGTGCTTCACGCCGTGCGATTGTTTAAATAAGTATGTAAGTAAAGTTTATTTCTGTAGCACCTTTCACAGATAAAAATCACAATAAAATGCGAAACAAAACAACCAAGTAAAATACAGTGCATAAGAAAATGTAACAACAAATGGAAAACAAAAAATAATAAAAAAATAAAAATACCTCATCTAAGTGATGGCGAGATGAAGCTTCATGAAGATTTCCATCCAGTTGGTTCAGTCATGAGCTGAAGCTTCACGGTGCTTCATTCGCTCTACTGTGCCATCAAGTGGACAATAAATATAAAACAGGCAAAGGGCTTTGGTGTGTGAAGCTTTGAACTGAATAAATTAATGAATGATGTTTGTGATGCCAAAACATAACTGATTTCACCTGCTGCAGAAAAATAATTATCAGGGTAATAGTTTAATTCTTACAAAAACCACAAGATGTAAAGAAAAACTTTCTTTCTCAACTGAAGTTTTCCTCTGTTTCATAACAATTTTTGAAGTTATTTGATCAAAGCAATTCTGACATAAGTTGATCAACTTTTTTTTTGTCATTTAAAATAAGCTGTAGATAAAATCAAGTTCAAAAGTCCACAAAATGTTGTGGAGGGTCCGTTGCACTTTGCTGCTCCTTTCGAATCGCACGCCAAACCCGCAAACCGTCTCCTGAATCTGTCACCTGGTACGGCCGGCTCGTGAGGCTTCGATACTGAAGGACACAGCACTTCGTCTAACTAAAAGCCTGCTTGAGTAGCAGCGTCTTCAGTGTTTCTTTAAAAGAATCGACAGGATTCACACAAAGTAGAAAGCCGAGGTGAAGCATTGCACAGCCTCTGTGCCGCTGCTGGGAAGTTAAAAGCCTTGCAGCAGAGTTCTGAACAGCCTGGAGACGGTGAAGGTCCTTCTTGCTCAAACAAGTAAAAAGACCGTTACAGTAATCTGAAAAATAAGTCCCATAGGTGGGATTATCTGCAGCACTCAGTCATTCCTGAGGATGTTTCCTGGAAAGAATAACGTTATTTGAAATTACAGGAATTTGCTTAAAATCCAAATAAGTATTCACACATTATTTATTTCTCATTAGAAACTTTACTCTCCGTGTTGAATCGTCTGCTCATCTCCAGCTGAACGTTTGTCTATAGTTAATGATTTCATAGTTGTTTCTAGAGGAAGCTATTGATAAATTACAGATGTGTAAAATAAAGCATTATTGATTGTTGGTTGGCTGAATATGACATCACGTCTCCCTCTGATGTTTTTCAGTCCAACATGGAGGACAGACGCTCTCAGTGATCAGAGTGAGTCCAGATTCCTGTTTCACCTCCTGTGTGTACTTCATGTGGTGCTGCTGTGTGTGCGGTAGGTAATAATACTGTGTGTGTGTGTGTGTGTGTGTGTGTGTGTGTGTGTGTGTGTAGTCTCTCTCCCCCAGCTGAAGGAGTTGGACTGGAGAGTCGACTTGGTGACCGGTTCAGACTCAGTCAGTCGCATGTCCGTCCCGACCTGCCTGGTTCAGCTCAAGGTGGGTACCAACCTGGACCACAAAAACCTCCACGTACCGAGGTCATGTGACCCCCGGGACTGAGGTTTACTGGCCTGTGGTAAAAAAACAAACAAAACAATCTCCTTTCCTAACCACTTCTTCTCAACACTGATGGAAAACGTCAAGGAAAGATGTGGAGGAGAATTCACGAGGACTCGGGGAAAGCCGACCCAGGTTTACTCCAAGCTTTAAAAACAAACTTTATCTACAACAAATGCAACATAATTTAGTGACGAAACAGTCTGGTTTCCTGTCCACCACAGAATCCCAGGATGTTATCACGAGAAAATGATCCCGTTATCACGAGAAAACAGCGGCCGTTATCTCGAGATCATGAGAAAATTATCCCGTTATCGCGAGAAAACAGCAGTCGTTATTAATATCACGGGAAAAGGATCCCGTTATCACGAATATTCCACGACATTTATATGTAGAGTATTTTGTTATGAATATGATATTGTTAACTATAAAACAATAAGCTTGTTTTTAATTCCACTGGAGGGATTTGACAGGGAATATAGAAATCTATATTTGTAGTTTCAGAGCATTTCCTGACATTTTGGATAGTCTCACAAGCGTATAACGGGTGCTTAATTGTGGTGAAACTACTACGCTGTGTCACCATAAATGTTGCTGCCCCAGGGAATTGTGGGACGGCACCACCTCCTGTCCTTTGGTGAAGGATGGTGCAGTGCAACCTACGCTAAAGCAGGTAAGAAAGGAAGCACTGAAGCACCTTTCCTCAGCTTTTAGAGGATTCGACCAGCTCGTACGGGGTCATTTCACTCTGTCAGGAACCTTACTAAGCGGAACTCTAATCATGTGATCAGCTTCATGCGTCTGATGACGTGTTACATGTTCGGGTTTTCAGATGGAGGATCCGTGTCCGGCGGCAGGCGGGAAGTCCATTTCCACGGTGACGGTGGAGCTGGGCCGGGAGTCTCTGGACACCATACTGGACGGACTGGGACGCATCAGAGACCAGCTGTCTGTGGTCGCCGGGAAATGAAAGGACCGCTGATTGGCTTGTTGGTGTAATGACATCACAGCCGGACACTTTTTACAGACTCTCGCTGATAGTTTTGGTGCCAACGTTAAATATATTCATGTTTGAGCAACTTCATGCAACAAAATTTGGATTAGTTTTTTTTTTCTCCTGAAAACTCTGAACTAATAAGTTAATTCATCAGTAGATTTACACAAAAGCAAACATTTCAGATTTTTACAACTGATGTTTCGTTAGTAGGTAAAAAGACTAAACATTCTGCAAAAAAAGTTAATATGTTGGTGGACGTTTTTCATTATGTTGACATTTTGTACATCTAATTATGGATTATTTTGTGTGGAACCAAATAAAATTTTCCATTACAGTACAAATACATTTTTTTGTGCAACTTTACTAGTTTTACCCAAAAATATACAGTCCCTTCTTCTACAACCACAACAGATTCTGTTGTGGTTGTTGTTCTGAATATTATGAACACTTAACGGAGTTTCTGCTGCCAAAGCAGAGATGGAATCTGATAGTGAGAGACACCTAATACAGTGAAATAATACGTTTATAATTTATTAAGCTAATTAACGCTTTCTTAATATTGTGTAGGTTCCCCTTTTGCCACCAAAGCAGCCCTGAACCGTCGAGGCCTGAACTCCACTAGACCTCTGAAGGTGTGCTGTGGTATCTGGTACCAAGATGTTAGCAGCAGATCCAGTCCTGTAAGTTAAGAGATATTTGTCCAGCGCATCCAGTAGAAGCTCGATTGGATTGAGATCTGGGGACTTTGGAGGCCAAGTCAACACCTTGAACTTGTTGTGTTCCTCAAATCATTTCTTAACCATTCTTTGTGGCGCATTATCCCGCCGCGAGAGGCCATCAGGGAATACTGCTTCCATGAAATGGTCACATGGTCTGCAGTAACGCTTAGGTAGGTAGCAGGACTCGAGGTTTCCCAGCAGAACGCGGCCCGAAGCTTCACACTGCCTCCTCCGGCTCGCCTTCTTCTTATAATGTGTCGTGTGTTCCCCAAGTAAGCCATCCACATGTTCTGATTTGACCTACAATAGCTCGTCTGTTGGATTGGACCACTGTCCATCCTGTCGCCGGTTCACTGCTCCTCCTTCCTTGGACCACTTCTAATAGGTACTGACCCCAGCAGACCGGGTTTGGAGATGTTGTGACCCAGACGTTGAGCCATCACAGTTTGGTTCTTGTCAAAGTCACACATCAACTCTGAGGACACAATCTTCACCTGCCGCCTGATACAACAACACTTTTGTTTTTGCCCCCATTCATCATGATCTGAACTCAAAGATCCTTGTAACTCCTGTTGTAAGAGCCAAATACGTTGTTTTGTGTATTCAGACGTTGTTTCTTGTGTGTACACTGGGTGTCGCTCTGCTATTACCTGGGGGCAAGTATATAAATGTGGGATCCAAACTGTTCATCTGCAGGTGTTTTAGACCCTGAAGGGCAAAGGGATTTTGACCGCTGTGGCACACTGGCGCTAAACCATTGTTTGACAGCCTACTGTTTTAGAGCCTAAGGTTTGACCATTGAAAACTGGGGGAAAATGGACGTTTCATGCTGTGTCGTCTTGTTATTCTGCAACTCAACAAAACCCTGGAGATTTTTGAACGCTGCACAGCAAGGTAACATCAGGGCAGCCAGAGGTCACTCCTGGGTTAAGCCACCTCAGTAGCTGACAGTACTTCTATTGCACTGAGCACTATTGATTTGGACCTCAGTATTTCTTTCTTTCTTTCTCCGCTAAAAATGTTTGTGCAGCAAAAAGGGGGCGCCACACATGCGATAAGTTTAAAGGGGACATATTGTTGCCCCAGTTGCCCTTGACTTTAACCTTCTTTGGGTGAACTGAAAATTGAATTGAATTAAAGTGGGCGTGGCTTATTACAACAAATGTAAATTTCTAGACATTTCTCATTTCAAACTTCTAGAACAAAATCTTAAGAAAATCACATGCACATCCTAGAGAGCTTGACAACCTGAGGTCAATTCAGAAGTGCATCACTATTTATTTTTCAGAATATGCTAAATCAATCTCCACAAGTCTTCGTTCAAACGCGACCAAAATTGACACAGATATTCTCTAGATGGCCGATATCAAGTGTTTCAAAGGTTGCAGCTGTTTTTATTCTCTGTCTTACTTGTTTTTAGGGGATAATCTTGCTCTACTTTTTTGGCTACAGCTCCCAAGATGCTTTGGGGCGGATGTTAACCAGAAGTATGGCTGCCATAGAGTCAGTTAGCTGTGGGCTATTTAGTCAAACTGGCTCCTTGAACAGCAGGCGACTCAGTAATTATAAATGTTGTTTGAGTTAGTTTTATATCCTTGGACTTGTTGAATAAATGTTTGGTATCTTGTAGCCCCGTGGAGGCCGGGGGGGGGGGGGCGTACTTACATGCATGACACAATAATACAAAATAATTCATATTAACCAACATCTCAGTGGCGACACACAGAATCTACCAGGTCACTTTTTAACATTTTATTTTATCAAGAAGTCTTTGTTTTTTTTTGTTTTTTTTTTTACAATCAAGAAAAGTTTGTTTGAACAAACAGATTTCAGAAGTTAAAGATATAAAGGCACTTAACTTACAACACCTCCATAAAATAGGTCTCTCTCTCTCCCTTTTTTTTTTACAAATATTTACACACATGAGTTTGAGTTAAAATCCATGATAACAGGAGGAAAAATGAGGCCGTTCTGCTGGTGTGACAATAAAAATCACTTCAATCCAGAGCGCTTTAACTGACAGATGTTAAGATTTTAAAATGATTCAAACTAAATTCAGCGAGCTGATAAAGCAGCTGTGGAATTAAATCAGATTTTTGTTGTCAGTATGGTAGAGAAGATGAAGGATGATAGGATGATAGGATGAGGCCAGGAGTAAATAAGAGCGTAAAAATCAAAAACATGAGAACGTCGTGCTGCGAAGCTGCTGCTGCTGCGACTTCATCACACCGTCGTAAGAAACTCGTACAAAAAAGTCTCGTTCAATAATAAATTTCATTCCTGTATCGGAGAAGAAATGGATGGAAGGATGAGTTTTACACCCAGAAAGAAGAGTTCAGCAACGCGGCGACGTAATACTAATGAACGCAGTGCAGAGGAAATGTGTCATTGACCCGTCTCATTGATTATTAGTTTAAAAAATGTATTAATAGATGTTGTGACTCCTTTTATTCAGTATTCTTTCAGAAAAACTGTCATTTCTGCATCCAAACACTGTTAAACACCTTTTAAAATGGATATAACTTTATAAATACGACTTTTTTGCCTCAACATTTTGAATTTTCCCACGAGTTCATCATTTTGTCATTCTGGAAATGATGTTTCTGATCCCGTGGTATTTTACTTTAACTGTCTGTTAAAACACTTGATGTAGAAATGACGGCGTGTGGTCTGTCCGCTCTGACAGCGTGACGGGGCCGTGAGGACGTGGCGTGATGGCGACGTCAGTGCGAGGAGCTGCGGTCGTTGGCGACGGCCTGCAGGCGGCGCAGCAGGGCGGAGTGGTTGTCGTTACAAACCCTCTTGGGCGACGTCTCCTCGTCCAGCGGCATGCTGCGCTTCCTGGTGGGCGTCTCTCCGGTCCGGATCATACTGTTGATCTCCTGGAGACGCTGAGGGGTCAGAGGTCACAGAGCAGAGGTCAGACAATATATTATTAACAATTAATAAACGATGTCTTAGTAAATACACAAACAGTCTAACAGGCTGTTTCCTTTCTGTAGACTATCAAAATAAATCATGATGCAGGTTCTAAAAACATTTTCAGTTTGCAGTGACAACCTGCTGCGTCCCAGACGTCCCCCCTTTCAGCCTCCAGACCAGAACCAGGGAGACCAGCCTCCGTGTTAACCCGCCGCCACTACGCTGCTGGTAAACAAGGCTCGGGGACCCGCTTGGCTCTCGACGGGAGCTGTAACGTTTATTTATCCGTCCAGAGCTCAGAAATGTTTAAACACCAGGGATGAAACGGAACGAAAACTTCATATCACGGTTATAGTGACCAAAATTATCACGGTCACATGAAAATGTTCGGATGCCATCCATCCATCGATCCATCCATCTTCATCCGCTTATCCAGGATCGGGTCGTGGGGGCAGCAGCTCCAGCAGGGGACCCCAAACTTCTCTTTCCCGAGCCACATTAACCAGCTCTGACCGGGGGATCCCGAGGCGTTCCCAGGCCATCACTAATTAGCTTTCAGCTCCTCCAGTCACCTCCGTCCTTTCTTTTCCAAAACCACTTTTTCAGACTGAAAACTGAAAAATAATTTAATCAGTCTGTGCAGGACGGAGCTGCAGGCTGCGTCAGTTTAGTCTCAGTTTGTACCTGATGTTCTCAACATTGGACAAGTAGGCTAATATATATATAAACTGAGCTAATGTCCAGTAGCACAGCAGCTCTGTAGCTGCTGTAGAAGCTGCTCAGCTGCAGTCTGAAGGGGAGATGTTCGCTAACTTAGCGCTAACCGGCTTCACTTTTCCAGCAGGTGGGAAACAAAGTCTTGAGAAGCCGACACGCTGTAACAGACACCGGACATTTACTGCCAGAATATTTTCCTCCGCTCGCGTTCACCGTCACTTTCTGCCGCTCGGACAGTCAAACGCTCCCGATTCAGAGTTACGCTGCTTTACTAGGCTAAAAGCACCTGTCACGAAGATGTCCTTTGAAGAATGAGCAGAGGAAGCGACGAGTGTTGCCGTGCTCGCGCAGTGTGTGAGTGAAAATTAGTAGCGTGTTGATATAATAATGAGTGTGGAAAATTGGAGCCGCTGCTCCTGACTGCACATAGAGGAAACACAGGGATAAAACATTAAAACGCTCACGTTGGGGGGGCTGCTGCAGATGTAATAGTAAATCTTGTCTCGGGGGGTGGTCGCCGTGGGGGCGGAGCCTGTATTGTGAGGTGAGATGTAAATGGAGTGTTTGCTGGAGAGGAGCATCCGACGGGGAGACCCGGTCCTCAGGGTGGGGTACGGGCACAGGGGGGGGGGCTCCACCTGCACACACACATAAATATAAACAAACAAACGTTTACTCTCTCCATCTTCTTCTTCTCTGCTTTTTGTTGGTGCACTGCTGCACCGCCGCCACCTATCAATCAGTAATGTAGGTATATTTACTCTTTATAGTACTGTACTCAAGCACAATTTTGAGGTACTTATACTTGAATATTTCCATTTTATACTTTTAATCTGCCATAATATTGTACTTTACTACATTAATTTCACAACATTATTTACTAGTTACTTTGCAGGTTTAGATTGTTAATACAAAATATAATCAACTAATAAATGATGCGTTATTACAAATAAAGCTACACAGCAGAATACTACTACTTTAAACAGTCTTAATCTGAAGAGTAAAGGCCTTTGCACAGCAAGTCTGTGTTTTTTTTAATCCCTCATCTGATAAAAATCCTTACGCATCATTGTGTTTTCTTGTAGGCTGTAACCTCCTTTCCACCTGCTGCTGCTGCTGTTTTCCGCTCATGGCACAAATGTAGATTTCATTTCATGCACAAACCTGGTGCATTTGTTGTTAATTGTTAATCCTTGTTCTATATTTTTATATTTTGTCAATTTCTATATGCAAAGCGTCTGCACGACACAAACTGGAGTAATGCACATGTAAATATCTACCACATTCTTTATTTTTCTCTTATTCTTTTATTATTCTTATATAACTTGCATTTGTTTATTCCATATTTATATATTTCTAAATCTATTTATGTCAACTTTATGTCTACGTGTTGCGCCTTGTCACCAAAGCAAATTCCTCGTATGTGTAAAAACTCCTTGGCGATAAAGCTCCTTCTGATTGTTCTGTGTTGTGTTCTTAATGTTTGATAAATGTGGTGTCGTGGGTTGTAATCTAATATCTAAACCTGGCACACCGAGACCGATCAGTTTTATTATTCTATACCTTGTGAAATTCACAATACGAGACAAAAACGGTGAAGCAGTGAGGATGATTTGTGGACAGCTCATCTGTCCGACGCTCCTCCTTTCTCATTTCCTCCCTCCGAAAAACTTAAATGACGGATGAGTTTGTTTCGAGTCTGTGCGTAAACATGATTGACACAACGGGAGGTCGTATTTATTTTTAAACGTGCGATAATTTACGGACTTGGTGTGCAAAGGCCTTTACTCCTGGCTCGCAATGTTCAAGCGCGACACTTTAACTCACTAGACGACTCTTCCAGCTCTGTGAAACCTCCCCTCCGTCAGACTCAACATATTCTCCTATTAACGATTGATCAGGCAAACCTGTATACATAAATATACAACTCTGGCTGTCACGCACCCCTGCAGACGGCGAGCTGGGCGAGTATCTCAGAGCGAAGTGTCTCATCTGTTTGATGTAAACGCTGTTGTAGAAGAGGATCAGGTCTCCTCGCTCCTCCTCGCCCACGGCAGAGGAAGAGTTCTTGTTCGGGGTGGAGGGGGCACTGCCCGGCTGGGGGGTGTGCATGGTGCTGCTGGAGCGGATGGGAACTGGACTGGTGTCTCCCCCTGCTGGGAGGAGGTCGGTATGAGACGGCAGCTGATAACAAGTAAAGGCAGCAGATCTCCACTAACGTTTTACACACACAATAATTTGATTAATTGTTAAAATCAAAGCTGAGGTTTTAAATGGAGAACTTTTCAGTCAGTGCAACTTGGAAGACCATGTTTTCATACCTGGGTCCTGGTTGGGGTCAGCAGATGAGTTGTGTTTGTCGGTGTCGTCGGTGCCTGAGTGACGTCTCCTCCTGCCTGAGATCAACACGCTCCTGTAAACCTGAAACAAACAATGAGCTTTGGTCACTATAGATGTCCTGTGGAGTAAAGCCAGTGAGCTATTAGAGGTGTCGTTGGCTATTTGCTATGTTTTAGACCTGAGACCAGAAGTCGGGAGTCTGCCATGGAGCTGTAGGCCAAATATTACAGGACGACTACTACAGGTCTCTTACTCCTTCAGGCAAATTAGGAGGACAATGTACATAAACTTACATTTCTGTATATGTGCCAGTGCACACCCAATAAACCCAATATTGGAAAGTAACTGAGTACATTTACCAAGTACTTTACTGAAGCACAATTTTGAGGTACCATTAACTGAGTATTTCTGTTTCCCACTTTCTGCTACTGCTGCTCCTCTACATGTCAGAGAAAAATATTCTCTCTGCACTATTGTAAATTATTAACACTAAATATTACGATTAAGCTATACAGCAGTACATAAAGTAATAAATTGCTGTAGCTGCACCTCTGCCAGCTACAACATTAATGTATCAATAACTTTAATCCAATAATATATTAAATAAAGTTCTGAAAAGGGTATTTATGCATAATGAGTACTTCACTCTGGGTACTTATTTGATATTTTGATACTTGTACAATTTTTAATTAAGTACCTTTACTACAACAGTGACAGTATTTTTACACTGCAGTATTGTTACTTTTACTTACTTGCTTACTACAGTCGGCAGCAGTAATCCTTGCAGGTAATAGTGCCCCGTCGGAGCTTGTTTTTGCACCTGACAGGTTCAGATTGTTATTACATGTGTCTGACAACATTATGGAAAGGATCCCTACAGAGAGAGATCTTTTTAAAAGAGTGTGATCCTTTTTGTTTAACCAGAAACAGCATCTATAGCGCTCTCACCAAAGACACCAGACTCCATTGATAAAAACAGTAATTTAACGTCTCTGGTCTGCTGCTGCCTCGATCAGTTAGTTTGTATTGTTGTGTGACTTTGGTGTTTTTAAAACTATAAAACACTAAAGTCGCACATTAAGACAAACAAACAGAAACAACAAAGTCGCACAAACAAACTAACAGACCGAGGCAGCGGTGTTCTGTGAAGTAAAATTACTGTTTTTTGCATTGAAGTCTGGTGGCTTTGACAAAAGCAATAAAGCGATGGTTTAAAAAAAAAGGTCTCTCTCTGTAGGGATCCTTTCCATAATGTTGTCAGACACTTTTAATAACAATCTAAGCGTGTCAGCAGCAAAAACAAGCTCTTCAGTGGACGGACTTTGACGCGTCACAATTGCCTTCAAGAATTACGTTGCAGCACCGTTTCACCGCTAAGTACCGGACCAATTTCAAAAGTTGTGTCCCAATTAGTCACATAGACACAAAAACATGGGAACAGGTTGAAAAATACCTGCAGAGCTTAGAGGATGTTTGGCCAAAATGTAGATAAATGATCTAAAACATTTTTGATGAAACTTGTGTGACGAAATAGCAGCAACAGACACTGACGGATCTTTTATGAGAAGGTTTAATAAACTGTAAATGTAAAATATTAAAAAGGTTCTGTTTGGTAGTTTTCTACATGCGTATCAGTGCAGAGCAGCAGAGCGTACTCAGAGGTTCTTACGTTGCTGCTGGCCTGAGGCTGAGTGCGGTAACTCTTCATGATGTTCTGGAAGGATTTATCCTCTTTGGTCACCTGACAAAAACAAAAACACACCTCGTACACATTTACTTGGAAGAGGCAGAAAGAAACACAGTTGGCGTGATCAGAGACAGACCTTTGCCACGACGTAAACTGCACACATGAGGAGCTGGTCGAGGTGACGGTCCTTCATCAGTTCGGTACAGTGGACCAGAGAATATTCAAAACACGTCCAGATCTTCCTCCTCAGCTCTGACGAGATGTCCAGCTTGGCACAAAGATCTCTGAGACGCACACTGGCCAGGTGGTACACCTGTGAGCGGAGAAATTATAAGGTGACACTGCGTCCACTTCATTAAACTCCAGCTTTCACAGAAAACTGTTGGGAATAAACACTAAAAGAAGCATCAAACGAGAAAAAATAAAACAAATCTGGGCGGACAGACACTGAATTTATTTTTACTCATCTTGTATTTTGCGTTAAATCACTTCCATTCGCCTTTCTGATTGGCCAAAACATACGTCTGATACACATTACATGTAAACGCAGAGCGCCTGTTAAAGGAACAGTTCTGCATTTTGTGAAATCCTCATCCAGCTGTTGGAGTTTAAACGTCACACAAATAACCTTTATAGGTCATTCTTAAAAATGTATAAATAAGCAGTTGAAACAGGATAAAGGCAGATCTGTTCTTCAAAGCAACATTACGGAGTAATTTTATCTAACACAACAGATGCTAATTAGCTGCTAGCTAACACTGGTGCAATTATTTTAAGTGTTCACTGTCCCTGTCAAATAAACAGTAAATTAAATTACATGGAAAAAAAAAAAGAAGCTTCGAAATCTTTTTGATGCTACACTGACTGTGATTGTAATAGGGTGAACTGCGTCTCTGTCGTTGACACTCCAGGCTTGCAGAGCCTCATATTGGCAATATGTAGCACTGGAAACCCGGCTACACGATTAAATCGAAATATTATTGAAATTACAATACGGCCAATTGTTGATGAAGGTACGGTGAACAGCATGTTTGGTACTGACCCCAACAGATGTCATACCATGATGATTTCAAGTTCTTTCAGTGAAAGTAAAATTGGGAATCATATCACAGATCGTAAAATATCTGTTAAAACAATCGCAGCATGATTTTTTTTTACAGTTTTGTGCAGCCCTAAATCTGGTAAGGAAATCTATCACGACAATGGCGTAACACAGATCTACCATCTATCTGTCCAGAAGTTAATGTGCAAATGTATGCAGATGATACGGTTATTTATGTCCATGCTAAATCTAAACAGCAAGCTGCATCTCTACTCACAGGAGCTATGGAGAAAATCGCAGATTGAATGACTCCTGTTTGACACTAAATTTATCCAAGACGGTTCGTATGCATTTCTCCATTAGAGGAAGTAAATGCACTCCTCCTGAGATTAGTATTAAAAGACAAAGGGTACAGGATGTTCAGCAGGTTAAACATTTAGGTGTGATTATTGATAGCGGTCCAACCTTCAAAAAACATAATACAAAAATTTCAAAAACAGTAAAGTATAATCTGAGTACAATTGATACCGTCACACTTTTCATATTGTAGCACAACCTGGTCTCAAACAAGTGCAACCACTTCTGAGTCAGTATAAATAAGCATTTAAAGTCATGGATAAAAAACCTAATTCTCATCATTATTGTAATATCGTCAAGAAGCATGACCTGTTGACTTTTGAAAACTTCCTGTTTATGTCCAATGTTGGGTTTGTATACAAGATCGTTCTTAGCACCACAACCTCTCAAACAGGATGTAACGATAAGCAGACTGGGCTCAAGGTTCCTCTAGAGGGGACTGTTGCGTTAAGTTTCGGTCTACGACATTTGGACAAAACTGCTTTTCAGTAAAGGCAGCTGGGATGTGGAATTCTTTACCACTGAGTGTCAGAGAATGCATTACATTCAAAAATTTTAAAAGGTAGTGTGAAAATATGGTTGAAGGACAATCAGGTATGTAGTCACTGAGCTATGAGACACCGAATGTGGTCCGTATGTTTTTTACTGTGTGTATGGTAAAATTATTGTAATATGACAGTTTGTTTATTTTTGTATTTGGATAGTTGATGTTGTTTATTAATGTTTTGGGAGGTTTTGTATATTTGAGTCTGTTTTTAGTTCGATTTGGCCTATTTGAATTGGTTGGCATTTTTATATTTTATTTATATATAATATATATATATATATATATATATATTTATGAAATGTAAGGTTTGGTTTTGGGATTATTATTATTTTATTTTTTTATTGTAATATTTTGCACGCTATTGGCACCTGCCCAGGGACTCCAGATGGGAATTAGCTTTTAGCTAAATGTGGTACAGTACATATACTGTACATTGTCCCTGTTAAATAAATACATAAACAAACACTTTACATCACCAACACGACTCTTCAGCGAGCTATAAGAAGAAGCAAAGAGTCTATAATGTACAATGTGAGTTCTTTGGAAGAAGCTAGCTCGGTGTTCATGTTGGATTAGTTAGTAATGTTACTGTGTCTTGTGTTGTTGCTCATGCTTGATGTGTGGCCGTTAGCAAAGTTATCGTCTTGCTAGTTTTTGATCGTCATGTAAATCATAACAAATGCACGTGTACAGCTGTCCTTCTCTACGACAGCGGTGAGTTACACGGTAAAAGGCGCCAAATCACACAAAAAAACACATCTAACATAATGTTGCTTTAAAGCCACTCATGTCTGTACAGTAAATATGAAGCTACAGCCAGCAGCTGGTTAGCTTAGCTTAGCATAAAGACTGGAAATAGGGGGAAAGAGCTCCGTCCAAAAGGAAATCCGCTGTACGCTCTTGTATCATAACTGGATGTCCTGTACAGAACTAATCTCAGACCATCAGGATAGAATCTGCAGTGAAGCAATGGACCTACACAGAGAAGGGTATTATGGGTAATTGTAGGTGTCAGTATTGTGCTGTCACAGTGATCTTCTGGCAGAGCTGTCGTCTTCATGACGCTTTCATCTGTCTGTCCGAAATGGTTCCAAAGTCTTAAAAGTTTGTTTCACAGATGTGGTGGTTTGTTTATATCGTCACTGTGGTTAATCTGATTTCTGCTTCTCACTGTTTTATCACAATAACAAAACGTTGTCCCACGTCAGCAAACTCACTTCCTTGTTCAGAAGACGCAGCAGACGTGTGTGATACCAACGTCTCACATTGACCTACAAAAACATCAGCAAAGGGTTCGTGAAGACCAGGATCCAGATCTTCTTTCCCAAAGCGGGGAAACTGTTCTGCAGAATGTGCAGCATTGTGGTCGAAAACATAAAGGAAATCGTCTCCTGACAAACACTTCGAGAGAGAAAGTCAGAAACACATGGAGGACGTCAGAGAGACACTGAGACACAGGCTGCTGCAACCCGGTCCGCTGGTTTAAACATGCAGGGTCAGGGTCAGGGTCAGGGTCAGGCTCAGGGTCAGGCTCACCAAGTCCTGGAGGGACCGTTTAATGACTCAACTACAATTCTAAAGTTAAAAATATCAGTGTTTACCTGCATTTTTCATTTATTACAACAATTTCACTGCAAAAGTGAGTTTGCTAACGCCCAAAAACGCAATCAGCAGAGAAGTGATTAATAATCATCAGCTAAACACGTGATGTGAGCTGCTGCACAGTAGAAGATGAAGATCAATAACTACGGGACTCGTACCTTCCTGAAGAACAGGGACAGCGAGCCTTTCCTCAGCCGGCTGCTGGCTGGTTTGGCACTATGTTTAGTGACGGCTGATTGGACGGTGAGAGTGCTGGTCAGAGTCTGAGCGGACAGCGGCTGCAGCGTGGCTCCGCCCTGTCCGGTCACACTCACCTGGACCGGGATGAAGGTGATGCCTCCGCTCTCATTGGCTATCCCTGCAGAGGTCAGAGGTCAGTGTTAATATTATTATTGATTTTTCACAGTCAGTGGAATGTTGACTGTCCCTCACCCTGCACAGGGATGGTGACCGTCTGCCCGTTGTTGGCTGTCATGGTGGCGGTTGCCACAGTGACCACCGTCTGCCCGGCTGGGATGGACGTGACCAGGCTGGCCTGTCCGGTCTTGGTCACGACAGTCGGTGCTGCGCTGCCGGTGCTGGTGCAGGTGACTCCATGCTCACCGTCCAGCGGGTCGACGAACAGACGGCGCCGAGCTGCGCCGGTAGGCGGAGAGCTGTACCGGTCCAGCAGGGTGGTGGGGGAGGGGGACACGCCTGCAGGGGGGCAGATTATTTTACATTCATGGAGTGCTAATAAAGTACATGTTTTTATACATATTTTGTTCACAGAGCGATTTTAAAGACGCTTTTCATGAAAAATTTAACCAACAAAAACTAAAAAATACAGAAGAACACAGAACATAAAAATTAGAAATTAAATTGCTCTGATAATGTTAATCCAACACATCTTTGTAGCAGCGTCTGTGATGATTCCACATTCCGACTAAGGAGCCCATGAACACACTGAAGTCGGAAGAACGACTTCACAAGTCGGGAAATGGGACCATCCGAGGAGCACCTGAACGCACCGTGAGCTGTTGGTTGCAATTCACAACCCTCACCACTACATGCCACTAAACCGAGCCAGAAACCTGCCGTCCTGTCTCTGTGTTTCTTTTTGAGACTTTGAGTCTGACAGGTAAAATAAATATATTGGGAGGAACAGCAGTAAATCACATTACACACACACACACACACCTTTGATGGTGCTGTTGGCGCTGAGGTCCGAGCCGTGGCTGATGGGAGTGAGGGGAACGCTGCCTGCTCTGCTTTCATTGTTTTGTTCCAGATACTGAGGAGGCATCACCTGAAACACACACATTTCTTCATAAATTTAGATAGAAAGTTTATAATTCACTCATATGTCTGATACATTTAAATGTCTACATATTGAAATGAATATGAACTGAAGTGTTGTCCTGTTTGTGTGCTGTGTTTTACGGACCTCCTGGCAGGCGGGGACGTGGTCTTTGGCAGCGCGGAGGCTCTCCCACAGCGGGGAGTCGCTGGTCCAGGCCAGGCTCTCCAGAACCTGCTCCTCCACCTGGTTCAGGTGCTTCACCACCTCCCGAAACAGACCCTGCTCCGACCGCACCAACACCTCGATCACCTGCACACAGACTTTCTCCTTTAATGTTTTACATTTTCTCTCTGTGATTTTTTTTGTATATTTCCTCTGAACTTCAACGTCTCTTGAAATTTCCTAATTCTGTCTCTTTTTCACCATCGTTTAATATGAATTATAACTTTAGGTCGAATTTGTTTCTTATATTACAGAGAATGGTCATGTAGCGCCACATCTTTGCTATTTGGACACATTTCTTTCTTCAGACTACGCAACTTGCTGTCTTGTAAACCAGAGTCTTAAGTGTCGGTGTGGTGTTCACATAACAGGAGGTCACACATAACACGAGCTGACAACGACTCTATCTGGTCTCCAAACCAGGTTTTGTCAAGAAAACACATGCGAGAAGCAACACGGGAAATGATGCGAAAGCATGTGCGAAACAGGAGATTTTTATAGTTTAAATATTATAAAACACAAAAGGAAAAGACAAAGAATACGGATGAAAGAATGGATCACCAGATGCAGGCAGCAGGGAATGTCCTAGCTACAGAGAGAGTCGGAGGTCAGTAAAGAAAGTAGCTGCCTGCTCTCATTGGCTGGATGTCGTTGGCGTGCTAGATATCAACAGAGACGCAGATTCAGACAGAACATACACACAATGCGATAAGAAGTGACAGGTCGTATTGCTACCTTGTAGAAGTGATAAGCGGGGAGCTGGAAGATGCCGATCACGTTGGGAAAATCTCCTGGAGGTCTGTAGGAGAAGATGACGATCTCCAAACAGCAGGCGAGCAGGGAGCGATGGAAGATGTCCTGCTCCAGAATACACTGAAACACAGAAACGTTTACAGATTCAGTACTACAGAAGTCCATCCCTGTAAGTATTCACTGTCAAAGTAACGCTCGAGTCTGTTTATTCAAACTAAAAAGTTATAAAAGAAGCTTTTAACGGACAGCTGCCTGTTTATAAAATGCCAGTTTCATGTATTCACAAGCTAAGAGGAAAAAGTCCTAAAAACTTACTGCACCCATTATCCCCCCCCCCAAAAGTTTTTAAACATTGTAAAGCATCAGGGGAACTGCAGAGGAGCGAGTTCGGTAAGTTTTTAGATGGTAAATCCAAGTCAAAGCAAAAGTCTTCATGTGGCATAATTTATTCAGGAGGATAAAGAGTTTTACAGACATGTAAGCTTTTAAAATGAACTGAAACAAACTTTTAAATACATAAATGAAAGAAAGTGTGAACAAATGTTGATATAAAAATGAAAATGAAGAATTAAAACCAACTGATAGTGATACACAACATTAGAAGGCAGTTAGTTGGTTGGTTAGTTTGCAGAGCAAGTGTCAAGTCTGAGTCACGTCTTCATCAGGAAACGGCAAATAAAAGATGTTTTTCAGGTGTCTGAGTGCCGACTATTAAAATCGCCCAGTTTTCTTTTCATTTCATCTAAAAACAATCCTTTCAGAGCAGACACTTAAATATTTAGTTCAATCCAAAGTGGCTCTAATCTGATTTCTCTGCTCACATGTGACTCAGATCTGATTTGTTTGATCTGATCTTTTCCTGTTTTTTTTGTTTCACAAAGCTATGGACCGGTCTATAGTGTCAGCTAGTCTACAATGTGGTTGGTTTCGTTCACCCATGGAAGCTCTCCTGAGTCTGACAGAGGAATCAGCTGAAGTACTGAGCCCTGCCTCCTCCCGTTTCAGGATATTTCCTCTTTATATATATATATATATATGTCTCTTTGTGGCATCTTGTACCATGTTCTTGGATCTTTTCTGTAAACCTTTGATGCTCCGCTCAACGGTCAGGTTTACGCTGATTATGGTCGTCGCAATGTTTTCCACAATCAAGCATTTCTTTTTGTTACAACACTCTCCGCTAAACGTCCTTATAACTATTATACTGCTTCAACACACACATATTTTCCTCTCGGGTAAACTGCACTGAGCTGTTGGATGCGCCTATTCAATCCACCATTTTTATTGTTTTGAAAAATGTCTTATTTTACCCAGAATTCATTGCAGTGTAGTCCTACTTAAGATAGTCGGTGGGCCTTTCTCAACAAGTGTTCTTGTCTGTGAAACGTCTTGTTCTGTCCCAATACATAAGTTTGCATTTTGGCAAGAACGGTTAAAAATCCCGGAAGTGTTCTTGACACGCCCATTTTACCCAGAATGCATCGGTTGGTAACTTGTGTGAACTTGACGGCAGAGATATCCCAGCATTCATTTCGGTATTCAAGCGAGGGGCGTAAAGAAGTTGAGAGAGAGAGGCCGACAACAGAACGTTATTTCATCACTAAATCCACTTCTGAGAAGTTTGGAGGTGAGAAATCAACCGTGTAGATGTCAAATATTGGCAGTTCTACTAAAACTGATGGTGAATTGAAAATGCGCTCAGACGTTGTCAGAGTTGAGACGCTCCGCAGCCGGCTGCCCGGTCAGCCTCTTAGACCTCTCTGTCCCTGACGAGTTCAGAAACAAACAGCGACAGAGGAAACCACAGCTGTTCGCACCGATATGATGGATTGATAAGATAAGATAGATAAGATGCTTTCCTTTGGTGTGGGAGACCTGGGTTCGATTCCCACTGTGAGACATCCACCATTGTTTCCCTGAGCAAGACACTTAACCCCTCGTTGCTCCAGAGGCGTGCGACCTCTGACATGTATAGCAATTGTAAGTCGCTTTGGATAAAAGCGTCAGCTAAGTGAATAAATGTAATAAATGTAAAGGTTGTAACTTAAATCAAGAGACGTCTGGCTTGTGATAAACCTGAAAAATCTGTCCTTGTAAAACTTATTATTATTATATTAGACAACACTGTTAGTTTACTGTAAAGTTGTGGTTACAGTACTTTTTATTTGCTTTTATATAATTATAATTTATGCAGCAATATACACCTTGAAAGTTAAAACCTACTTGGCAATAAACCCGATTGTGAGCTTTTTGTTTTGGGGGATGAAGCCTGGCTTTTTCATTGCCGCAAAGCAGAAGGCCTGTGTGTGGCGGTGTTGAGCAATACCAGTAAGAACGCATCAAACCGTCAGCAGCGTTCTGCGTGCTCGTGACATTGCAAGTTCATTCTTCCAAGAACGACGTTTTCTGCGTTCTTGGTTTTGAGAGTCTTTGTGCAGCGCTCTGATTTAGATGTCTCTCTGAAGTGAGACTCTCTACTACATCTAAGCCATGGTCAAAGTCTATCTTTGTGAAACCGGCCCCTGCTCTGATTGTTTAAACTGTGTCCTCAGTCTGGACGTCAGATCGAGTTCATTTGACTCTCTATAGCGACCGTCGTCACAACGCTACGCTAGAAGGAGCCACGGCGAACAAAAAAGCTCCACAAAAGCCAGAATTAACACCTGAAATCCTCCCGCATGCTGCCTGTCCGAGCAGAAACATTACAGAGAGAGGTGAGATGTGTTGTGCAGTGCCAGAGAAACAGTTAGAAATGTAATGAAAGGACAGAAAGTTGTGAACATTTGTCACAGTCCTGGAGAAATTTGACCCTGGGAGGAAACCGGCAGAGGGTTAGCGAGTATGAGCTAACCGGAGCTAACCTCTGTGGCCTCCATGTTTACTCGCCAGGAGTAAAATACTCACCGACAAGTCAGCGTCTCCCAGTATCATCTTCTCCCTCTCTATGATGGACTCCAGGATCCTGTAGTAGAGCGCCTCCGCCAGGTGGAAGTACTTCACTGCCATGTCTACGAGCAGAACGTTTATTTAGGCATTCAGAGAGAAACGAATCCGTCGTGTGACTCAGTGAAGTTCTCTGTTCGTGTACCTTTCCCCATCCCCCTGTTCTCGGCCCCGCTGCCCTCGAAATGTTGAGAGAAGAGCTCGAACATGTCCTTCAGGCGCTTGCTGATGACATCACTGGGGTCTCTGGCACAGTTCCTGCAGGGAAACAGTTTCTGTCATTACACCGCAGATGATAATACACATGAGGCTGTGCAGGTGTGTTCAAGACAAGTACTATCGGCTGTGTGTACTTAAAGTATGCAGGTACTATCAGCTTGAAGTGTTCTTCAAATATGCAAGTATTAGTAGTTTTATGTACTTTAAATCCATCCATCCATCGTCAACCGCTTATGCTGCTTTCTTTTAGCTTTATGTACTTTAAATATCGGTAGTAAACGTATAGAAGTATTTTTAGCTTTATGTACTTTAAATATCGGTAGTAAACGTATACAAGTATTTTTAGCTTTACGTACTTTAAATATCGGTAGTAAACGTATAGAAGTATTTTTAGCTTTATCTACTTTAAATATCGGTAGTAAACATATAGAAGTATTTTTAGCTTTATCTACTTTAAATAGCGGTAGTAAACATATAGAAGTATATTTAGCTTTACGTACTTTAAATATCGGTAGTAAACGTATACAAGTATATTTAGCTTTACGTACTTTAAATATCGGTAGTAAACGTATACAAGTATATTTAGCTTTACGTACTTTAAATATCGGTAGTAAACATATAGAAGTATATTTAGCTTTACGTACTTTAAATATCGGTAGTAAACGTATAGAAGTATTTTTAGCTTTACGTACTTTAAATATCGGTAGTAAACGTATAGAAGTATTTTTAGCTTTACGTACTTTAAATATCAGTAGTAAACGTATAGAAGTATTTTTAGCTTTACGTACTTTAAATATCGGTAGTAAACATATAGAAGTATATTTAGCTTTACGTACTTTAAATGTCGGTAGTAAACATATAGAAGTATATTTAGCTTTACGTACTTTAAATATCGGTAGTAAACATATAGAAGTATATTTAGCTTTACGTACTTTAAATGTCGGTAGTAAACATATAGAAGTATATTTAGCTTTACGTACTTTAAATATCGGTAGTAAACGTATAGAAGTATTTTTAGCTTTACGTACTTTAAATATCGGTAGTAAACGTATAGAAGTATTTTTAGCTTTATATACTTTAAATATCGGTAGTAAACATATAGAAGTATTTTTAGCTTTACGTACTTTAAATATCGGTAGTAAAAGTATAGAAGTATTTTTAGCTTTACGTACTTTAAATATCGGTAGTAAACGTATACAAGTATTTTTAGCTTTACGTACTTTAAATATCGGTAGTAAACGTATACAAGTATATTTAGCTTTACGTACTTTAAATATCGGTAGTAAACATATAGAAGTATTTTTAGCTTTATGTACTTTAAACTTCAAGTGTCAGTAGTAAAAGTTCACTTGTATTATCGGCTTTGTGTTCTTAAAGTATCAGTAGTAAAATTAAATAAATATTATCAGCTTTGTATACTTCAAGTGTCAGAAGTAAAAGTACACAAGTATTATCAGCTGTGTGTTCTTAAAACATACAGATCCAGAAACCCACCTGAGGGTTTCTGTTAGCTTAGCGCTCGGCCCCTGTTTGGTTCCCGACAGCAGCGTGTGGAGTCGCCCCACACTCTTCATGGCGGACGAGACCGGCGACGCCAAGCTGCCCTCCTGAATGTACTTCCTCCCTGTGAGAGGAGTGGAGACCTTCAGAGCCGAGGCCTGACGAGAGGAGAGACACCAGGGATGGTTATTTAGAAATAATCACAACTATCAATAAAATCGTCCTGCTTTACTCCTGCAGAAACGTTTGTAGCCGCCGTGACGTCACCTGTTGTTTTGCGGCCTTGAGTTTGGTATTTTGGCCGCCGCCACTTTGGTTTTTTGGAACCCGACTTCACCATATTTGGAGGAGACGGTGGAGCTACAGGCTTAAAACAAAATGTACTTATAAGTAACAGCCGACTCTGCTGGTTAAATGTACACAGAGCAGCGGATACGAGTCGCCTCCATCAAGTTAGTCCCGCCCTAAAGCCTCCCCTGCTTCCTGGTCTCTGTTAATTTACTAAATGAACATCATGCTGTGTTGAAGAAGACTTGAAACTAGCGACTGAGACCATAAACTCATCAGGAAAGTGTTTACTGAGGGAATAAATCAGCTGACAAGTAGAAACATTTTCTCAGAGACTTCTATACAATCACACTTCTTTCTGCAGCCGCTGGAGTCGCCCCCTGCTGGCTGCTGGAGAGGACGCAGGTTTAAGGCGCCCCCTGCTGGCTGCTAGAGAGGATGCAGGTTTAAGTCGCCCCCTGCTGGCTGCTAGAGAGGACGCAGGTTTAAGTCGCCCCCTGCTGGCTGTTAGAGAGGACGCAGGTTTAAGTCGCCCCCTGCTGGCTGTTAGAGAGGACGCAGGTTTAAGTCGCCCCCTGCTGGCTGTTAGAGAGGACGCAGGTTTAAGTCGCCCCCTGCTGGCTGTTAGAGAGGACGCAGGTTTAAGTCGCCCCCTGCTGGCTGTTAGAGAGGACGCAGGTTTAAGTCGCCCCCTGCTGGCTGTTAGAGAGGACGCAGGTTTAAGTCGCCCCCTGCTGGCTGTTAGAGAGGACGCAGGTTTAAGTCGCCCCCTGCTGGCTGTTAGAGAGGACGCAGGTTTAAGTCGCCCCCTGCTGGCTGTTAGAGAGGACGCAGGTTTAAGTCGCCCCCTGCTGGCTGCTGGAGAGGACGCAGGTTTAAGTTACTTCCGCGTTGGCTTTTCAGACCTTGAAGTTCCTTGCTTGCACAGAGCAGATGACCCGAGCAGGAAGTCAAACACAGAAACAGCAACGAGAATCCGGTTACATTTTCAAAATAAAACACCCTGTGCAGACTCCTGAATGTATATCAATAAAAAAAAACAAACATTAAAACTGACAAAAAAAAGAAACCATTTAATCAAGTAGCCATCAACAAGCAAAACGCTCCTCTCCTGAAACCCTTCCAGTGGCCTTTGAACCCGTGCAGAGGAACAAACAAAAACCACATTGCAGCTGGGTCAAAAAAATCCGGTAAACTGCAAATACAGAGCGATTTACCAGGCGGGGCAAGACTTTATTTGGCGAGGGCTTCAATCAGTCTGGGACTCCAGCTTTAAAAGATGCAAATAGAGTAAAACATAAGTTTGTTTCCTCACCGTGAGGTTGGTGTGAAGCCTGTAGGCGGCGCTGTCCTGGTGCTCCGACCCCTCACACAGGCAGGGCCCCGGGGTGCCGATGTCCTCGCTCGCCCCCTCACCCGTGAAGATCCTCTCATCCAGACCGCCGGTGGCCAGAACATGTTCCTCATACACCCGGTTGAGAGACAAGCTGTGGGTGCAGGACAGTAGAGTAAGACAAAGAAAGGACGGTAAGACGGTGAGGTTATATGATACTAGCTGTTAGGTGTAGAGAAGATAAACATAGAATAAAGTAGAGCCAGTTAGAGTGATTACAACAGAGTACTACTCAACTCAGAGTACAGGTTAGTTACACAGAGATGTGTTGAGTTAAATAGAGTTAGAGTAGTAGTTTAAAACTGGGGAAGGTACCGATAATGAAAGTACACAAAGTTGATTTTTACGTACACAGAGCTGATAATACTTGTGTACTTTTACTACGGATACTTTAAATACATTAAGCTGATGATACTATTCAACTTTTACTGCTGATACATTAAGTACACAAAGCTGATAACACTTGTGTACATCCACAACGGATACTTTCAGTACATGGAGCTGATAGTGATGCAATGAAAGTTGTTGGCCGAAGCCGAATATAATGAAAAAATTTTAAACCAAATACCGAACAAGTACATTCACATTTTTTCCATTTATTTCACCACTGCATAAATTAAACAGTCAAAATGAGCTTTTTCCTCAGTGTTTCCTGCAGGATGTGCAGAGACTATGGTGGGGGGGTCCGGGGCCCAAGAGGCTCCAGTAGAGTAAATTACATGAGTCCGTTTACTTTTAATGGACACATGTAATATGTTTTATACTGTCTGTGAATATAATCCAGTTAATCTTATTTCCATCCTGTACAGACGCCTTATTTTGAAAACCGGACGTTGTCACATGTGTTTCCTCGTCGCGCTAAATCCATCCAGTCCGACCCGGTTTGATAAATAATGTTGTAACATGAAGACTTCACAGCCTCTCTTCATACTAAAGAGACAAACTGACAGGATAAAGTCTCTAACCTGCCTGTCAGCTCGCTCTGGGCCGCTTCACTTACCGTAAAGGCTGGAATACCTGTGCACTCCACATTTAGGTGCGGCTAGTTTAATCTCCGTCTCACAGACGAGAGACAGAAACACTGAAAGAGGTTCTTTTCTAAGAAGTCAGCCACAGATGGAGCGGATGTGCTGGGAGACAGTTCAGCAGAACACTTTAAAATGCTTCCACACTGCTGACGTGTCAACATAATTGTTGGCATGGTCTTTTGACTCATTAGACCGAACACTGAAAGTGCTTTTTCTGGCAGAACATTTGGTGCATCCCTAGAAGCTGATAATACCTTAAAACATGTTCAGTTATTTTAAAACATCTACTGATAACTGATCCTTTTATAGTGATTATTAAAACCAGAATGTTTCTATTTTGTGCACTTGAACGCCCCAAAAACAAATCGATGATGTAACGTTCAAATCCACTTTCTGAATTTTTGAATGTTTGTTTTGTTGCTCTTTTGTTGTTCGGAAAAGATTTTTGGTTCAAAACATGCGGTGAACTGTTGAGGTTGAAGGAAATTAATACCCGACTTTCGATAATAAACTCTTCCTCTATTCTCCACAGATTGTTCTTCTTTCTTTATTTACGACCTCACGATCAATTCACAAAACAGAGTAAGATGACGGCCGACACTCACGAGCTGTCTCCAAAGTTCATGGGGTCCAGAAAGCCGCTCAGACCGTCTTCCTTTCCTCTGAGGATCTGTGGGCGAGAGAGGAAGTTTAGTTTTACACAAAACCACTAACAGAGTGAGTGTGTGTGTGTGTGTGTGTGTGTGTGTGTGTGTGTGTGTGTGTGTGTGTGTGTGTGTGTGTGTGTGTGTGTGTGCGCGCGCGTGTGTGTGTGCGTGTGCGTTTACCCTGCAGCTATTTCCCACCTGTGGCGGCAGGAAGTGAAACACCACATCATCTGGGGAACTTTTATTAGAACAGACATCATCTGCTGAAACCAGCAGTATTAAGTCAGAGAACACTAAATAATGTGCAGTTCATTTAACAAAATAACAAAATAATGTCTGGTCATTTTTTATATGATCCATCCTTCGTGGGATTATTCAGACTAGTGTTACTGTCGTCAGACGAAACTAAACGAAGTACATACGACCTTTTTTCCCCCCAGACGATGACAAGACGGCGACGATGTCCTTAAACGCTGACTGTGACTAGATTAACTAATATTGTTGACGAAAAATGACGAGACCAAAATGTGATCCACAAAATAAAAACGTTAATAAAGTCTCTCTTTCTTTTTGTCAGTATAATGAGGAGACAAAATATTACAGGCCTTATTTTCTCCCTCTAAATTTTCACTTTGTTCATTCAGCAGCTTTTTTTTTTTCTTCCTGTGCTTTGAACGCCGGCCGACCGGGGGGGCGACGCCTGGTGCACGAGGAAAACGTTACTGTGGAGGATGCGAACACAACATGCTAGGGAGAAAGAGATTTTTAGATATTTGGTCCCATTTCAAACAAAAACACAGAGTGCCTGATTATATCGGACGGCAATGTGGTTATAAGATGTTTGAAAAAAACACCACGAACTTAAAGCTGCACATCGAGGCTGACCACCGGGAACTGAGGTAAGTTAACGTCTCCGTTGCAATAAAAATGAAAACAAAGCTAACGCTCAAATTTTACTAAACATTTTATCTATATGTGAGATGATTGAACTAAAGACTAAAATGATAAATATCTCTATTTTGGTTCGAGCAGATTGCTAATCTAAATTATGCTAACGAGTTAGACAAGACTAAGATGATGGTTAATGACTAAAACTAGACTAAAATACTTTTGATTTTCTTTTGAGTAACATCAGATTATCATCATCAGATCTTTAGTCAACTAAAACTTGATTTTAAAAAAATAGTACACAGTGGACTAAATATGACAAAAACTAACGAGGACTTTTGACACAGGACTGAGACTAAATTTTAAAATGGCTGACAAAAATAAATAAAATAAAATAAATACAAACAAAACTACATCTACATTTATGCACCAGTGGGTCTGCAGGAGTTGATTCATAAAACAGCTGTAATCCGTTTAAATAAAAATAGGTGGACTTTATCTGAAGTTAATTTTTCATAAATATATTAAAAACGACGTCACTGTGTTGAAAAGTGGAGGGGATATAAGGGCTCAGATTAGGGGTGTGATGCACAAGACTGGGTTCACAAGAACGAGACGAGAAGATATGTTAACACTATTTTGAAGATATCTGGGGTCTGAAGATTTTGAGCATCAAACACATAATTTCCTGCATTCTGGAGAAAGTTTCTGCACCGATTTATGTTTTATTTAAATGAAGGGAAACACAAAATTCAGGCAGCAGGTGACAAATCAAAATATAAAAATATAACAGAATAGCACGAAAGCATTTTCATTCATTAGTTAACATTTCTTGTTGCTATTTTTCAGAACATTTTAACAAATTAAATGTAAACGCTCCGTACTTGTATAGCGCCTTTCTAGTCTTTTCGACCACTCAAAGCGCTTTTACACTACATCTGCATTCATACACTGAGCCTAAGTGCTCAAACGGAAACTAACATTCACACGCGGAATAGCCGCCAGGGGCAATTCGGGGCCCAAGGACCCCAAATTAAGCTTTTAAAAAGTGACGGGGACAAAATCAGCCACTTCAAAAAGTGACACCTGTGGCAAAGACATGTGGAAAAGGTTTCAATTAAAGCTCCATCCTCGATTCTGATCAAGTCTAAATCTGGAACGTGAACTTTTTTAAAACAGTGTTTGTTATAGATTTGGACCAAAGAGAATAACCTCAGCTCACAGGACCATATCTGTGTTTTTACACATTTTAGTTCTCTCTCACATTTTTACCAATTCCCCTCTCTCAATTAATTTTAAAATATATGCGAGCTGATTGTGATATTGCTCTCAGAGAGCCTCTGCTCGCCATTTACCGGCGGGAGGAGCTTAGAGTAAATTTTTTAACTAACTAAATGAACTTTTAAACTAAAAGTCTGGGGATTAAAAAGTGCATTTAACCTGTTTGCAGCAAACCGATTTTCCGACCTCCACTGTCGTTACTGCAGCCGTCAGCGGACGCCCAGAGCTCCGTGACACTACTTCAGATTTACGGAGAGGCCAGCAGGAGAAACAGAAGCGAGGAAGCTGAACCACCTGGTAAGATCTGAAAATATGTGTCTGACCCAGCTATCGTTGTACTATGAAACAAGTTAGCATAGAGATCAGCCCTGATCGATCCAAACGCCATTTCGAAAACAAGCATTTTAAAAGATGTTTGCTTGTCATCTTGCAGACTGACCTGACAAAGCATGAATTCATATGTTTGACAAATCAGCATCGTGATGTTGTTATTTCGGCTTCAGTTTGATCTGTTTATTGCAATTAAAATCACAGCTAAATGTTTATTTTGGGTTCAGACTGCAGTAAACAGACAAATACACTCACCTAAAGGATCATTAGGAACACCACACTAATACTGTGTTTGACCCCCTTTCGCCTTCAGAACTGCCTTAATTCTACGTGGCATTGATTCAACAAGGTGCTGAAAGCATTCTTTAGAAATGTTGGCCCATATTGATGGATAGCATCTTGCAGTTGATGGAGATTTATGGGATGCACATCCAGGGCACGAAGCTCCCGTTCCACCACATCCCAAAGATGCTCTATTGGGTTGAGATCTGGTGACTGTGGGGGCCATTTTAGTACAGTGAACTCATTGTCATGTTTGAAATGATTGGAGCTTTGTGACATGGTGCATTATCCTGCTGGAAGTAGCCATCAGAGGATGGTACATGGTGGCCATAAAGGGATGGACATGGTCAGAAACAATGCTCAGGTAGGCCGTGGCATTTAAACCATGCCCAATTGGCACTAAGGGGCCTAAAGTGTGCCAAGAAAACATCCCCCACACCATTACACCACCACCACCAGCCTGCACAGTGGTAACAAGGCATGATGGATCCATGTTCTCATTCTGTTTACGCCAAATTCTGACTCTACCATCTGAATGTCTCAACAGAAATCGAGACTCATCAGACCAGGCAACATTTTTCCAGTCTTCAACTGTCCAATTTTGGTGAGCTCTTGCAAATTGTAGCCTCTTCTTCCTATTTGTAGTGGAGATGAGTGGCACCCGGTGGGGTCTTCTGCTGTTGTAGCCCATCCGCCTCAAGGTTGTGCGTGTTGTGGCTTCACAAATGCTTTGCTGCATACCTCGGTTGTAACGAGCGGTTATTTCAGTCAAAGTTGCTCTTCTATCAGCTTGAATCGGTCGGCCCATTCTCCTCTGACCTCTAGCATCAACAAGGCATTTTCGCCCACAGGACTGCCGCATACTGGATGTTTTTCCCTTTTCACACCATTCTTTGTAAACCCTAGAAATGGTTGTGCGTGAAAATCCCAGTAACTGAGCAGATTGTGAAATACTCAGACCGGCCCGTCTGGCACCAACAACCATGCCGCACTCAAAACTGCTTAAATCACCTTTCGTTCCCATTCTGACATTCAGTTTGGAGTTCAGGAGATTGTCTTGACCAGGACTACACCCCTAAATGCATTGAAGCAACTGCCATGTGATTGGTTGATTAGATAATTGCATTAATGAGAAATTGAACCGGTGTTCCTAATAATCCTTTAGGTGAGTGTATTTGCCTGCATTAATCCTGGAGTAAACACAAATAGTCCAGTGGTCAGAATTCACTTTGCGTTGTGTGTGAACACAATATGGCTGATTTACGAAGGGATAAAAGACAACTTTATGATATGCTTTGCAATATATCGTAGGGCCCCTTTCAGTCAAAAACCTCCAGCTGACTGAGAACAGTGAAAACAGAATTATTTGTAATTGTATGAGAGAGTTGTCTCCCAGCATGCCTTACCCTCTTGTGGAAGAGTTTTTTGATGAAGGGTTTCCAGAAGTGTTCTTTGACTCCTTTGGCCTCCAGCACCAGGCCGTCATGCAGCTCACACAGCTGCTCTATGAAGCAGTGCGGACCGGAGGACGGCCTGTAGTCCTTACTGCTGAAGTCCTCAGGCAGACCTGGAGGACACGAGACAGAGACACAAGAGACAGACCAACACGTTAATGGAAGGAGGTGCAGGTCTGACAGGGAAGTCTACGGAGCAATGTGTGTTTTTATCACGAGGTTTGTATCAAATCCTCTTTGCAAATGTTTTATGAGGAAGGAAATGTCAAAATTCATGTGTGCAAATAAAAACACCAGTGAGCATAACAAAGAGGTAACAAGACAAAAGAAGAAGAAGAAATAAAAGGTATAATAAAAAAAAAGACATTTTGCTTTAACACACACTAACGAGCACCAAGGTCCGAACCAAAGTTCATGTTTTGATACATTTTGATACATTCGGTTAGTTTTGGTTTGGTTTCACGCTGCAATTCTGCGACCGCACTAAAGGACTTTTACATGACACACTTGCGTCCTGTCGTCATCATCTATGCGGGCTGCGTCTCCCTCTACTTGACATTGATTGGTTTATTAAACAGTTCAGAGGGCATCTTTGACAAGAATGAATAAATAAAAAATGAACATATGCAGATTTGCCACCACTAACTATGTTGTTGTTATTATTATGGCATTACTACCTGCAGCACCAACTATACTGAAGGCTAGACGCAATTAAACGTCCCCGTTGTGCGAACATTATAACATCGCCGATGGGGCAGGAGGAGACGGCAAGCGATCCTTCTGCTCCTCCGTTTGAGCAGAGACCAAAGATGTATGTGGCCGAGTGCTTCTGGCAGTCCGTTTGAAAGATGAGCCGTCACGGGAGATTTATAACCGTGTCCTTATTTCAACGCATTTCTCCGTGATTCCGGATTATACAGCAACCGACGAACTTCCTGTAAATAGTCTGAACCATCCAAAAAATGCTTTCACACCAGAAACGAACCGAACCGTGGTTCAGTTTGACCCGGACGGAGACCACCTCTTTTTGCCAAATTTCATGTGTTTGGTCCAGACTGCGGTCCAGGGGACGTTTCACACCCGTATTTTTGGTTCGGACCAAACTGAAAGTCCCAAAGTCCGGACCAAACGAGGCGAGAGACCCGGGTTCAATCCCCCGCTGTGACCCGTCCACCATTGTGTCCCTGAGCAAGACACTTAACCCCTCGTTGCTCTAGAGGCGTGCGACCTCTGACATGTGTAGCAATTGTAAGTCGCTTTGGATAAAAGCGTCAGATAAATGAATAAATGTAAACTTTCATGGCAGATGACTGTTTAACCCCACGATTCTATTTCAACTTTAGATTTTTAACCTGGTGTCGTTTCTTACATTCAGTGTTGGGGAGTAACTAATTACATGTAATTTAGTTACGTAATTTAATTACAAAATAAACTGTAATCCGTTACAGTTACTGTAAAAAATAAATTTAAAAATTTTTAAAAGTATAATTAAATTACAGTTACTCCTGAATATGTTCATAATCAAATTGGGGGGTTACATCTGAATACTTTTTGTAAAAAGCTCGGCTATATGTTGAATAATATTCATTTTGTTGCTTTGCATGTTTTTCTCCAGCCACAGACGGTTACTAAAGTTTGATGCTGTGCTGATGCTTCTGATCTCCTGTTTGAATTTGCAGCGCCACCCGTCTGCCAGTTAAACGTCCTCTCAAGCTGTCTTTAGAAAACAGTTGAACACATTCATTCGATAAGTTACATTACTTTGATAAATTCATTGAGATAGTTGCACGACGCTTCCAGTAACTTGTAATCGGTAACCTATTACATTCCCAACACTGATTATTTTATGTGCGTGTCTTCTTCAATTCGGTTTTCTTGCTCTTTTCTAAATAATTCCTTCCCCGCAGGACATCGGGAGACCAGCAAGGCGTCATGGCGTCTTTAACCCCCCCCCGTAGGATTTTCAAACCAACACAAAAGAAAAGAAAGAAGCGTGTTTCCTGCCTGAATACAGAACGACACGGTGTCATTTTTCATATTGAGGCTGGCAGGGCTGCAGAGGGGGAGCTTTTGGCGGTTTCCTTTCTCCTGTGCAATAAACACCATGTTTAGAGAGAGGAAGGCGGAGGCGGCAGCGGCGGGGAGCACAGGAAACACCAGGTGTCGACAGGAAGAGGGCCGCTGCTGTAGTGTTTTTAAGGAGTCGTCTGGTTGGAATTTGTGCAGTAATAAGAGTCTAACATTTGATTTATTTTACATGTTTAATTTAGTACTGCACATGACTGATAAGCAGGCTTCCTTATGTGCCAATGCTGATTTAATTTTATGACTCTTCAAAGTCATGTTTCACAACTCTGAGACCAAATTTACTTTGTCACGAGCAACAACGTTGGGTTTCTGCCTGATGAAATGTTTAAATACAAAACATACACCACTAGAGCGAGTGGAGACCTTCAAATGTAATTTTTACAAAGAATTTAACGCGCATAATTTATTTTGTTCACAATCTTATTTTATTTATTTGGTAATACTGTAAATATCCACATTTATTATCATTTATTATTATATTCTTAGATTTTTATACTTTATTATATTCTCTTCTTACCAACTTCTACTATTATTTCTATTCCTTCTATGTTCTGCGAGTATCTGTAACAAAGAATTTCCCATCACTAAAGTATTCTTATCGATTCTGATTTTAGCGTGTTAGCATGCTAATATTAGCTAAGTTGCAGTAAACACAGCGTACAGCTGAGGCTGATGAAAGTGTCGGTAGTTCTGCTGGTATTTGGTCATAAACGTGCAGGAACCTCCGGGTTCAACTCCAAATACTGCATTACTATAAACAAAGGTCCGCGTGCTTTTATTTTGTAGGCAAAACCACTAAAGGGGAAGTGACTGTGTGAGTAACTGTTGCTGCCATGACTGAGACCTAAGCATTTATTTATTTATATTTTCTGCCGCTATCAAAGCACCATAATTTGGCAGCGGGCCAGATCCATAATCACAAGCCGCTTTCACACAAAGATCCCGCAATAAACGTAGAAAAAATGTCCGCCAATACGCCGCATTCGCTCTTTCATGCTGAACAAAATATTGCGGCGTAATCCCGCAACCATGTGTGCTTTCATGTAGCGCTCCGGCTTTCCGGGTTACCTCCACTGAGTCCACCTACGCCGCGGCTGCCGGAGTTCTTCCAGCCAATTTTCAAAATAAAGTACCCTGTGCAGCTTCCCAATCGGAAAACAACAATAAACACAAGAGACAAAAAAGAAACCATTTGACTATGTAGCCTACTTAATTGTAGTAGAAGCACAAAAAGCAAGCACTGATTACCAAATCAATAAAATCTAAACATGTCAGCAAAATCGGGCAGGCAAAATGCTTTTATTCTGAAAGGTTTCCTGTGGATATGCAGCCTGAATTTGGCGGAACAAAACGGGAGCAGAGAGAGCTGCGGAGAAGGTAGCAGAAAAACAAAAATGACAAATAAACAACAAGTCAATGCTGAGACACTTCCAATGGACACTGACGCCGGGCTGGGGACCAAACAAAGCCGCGGCGCAGCTGTGGTCAGTGGATTTAGACCGATAAAAAAATGAAACGTCACTCCTGTTCCGGCGTGCCGGGCGTGGCTTTTCACACAGACATCATTCCGCCAACGTTCCCGGCTCAGAGGCTGATCAAATCGGACCCTCCTTTCCGGCTCTGCAAGCCGCCATATTGGCGAAATAATCGTGCAAAATTGGGCAGTGTGAAAGCGTCTTACGCTCTTTGAAAGGTTAGGGGGGGCAGTGGTAGACTGGACAGATGGTTGCAATTCAAACCCTCACCATTAGATGCAATATTATGTAGCTGCAGCACCGGAGGGTGCAGCTGCAGGACCCCCGCAGTCCTGAGGCCGCAGTTCTTTTGCGACAGCGCCATCTAGTGGAGTAGTGGTGGTAATGCACGGCAACACGAAGGAGGTTAACCCTGTCTGCTAGCAGCTGAAGGGTTAACCATTCCACAAGCATATAATCAATAACTTAAAGCCCCCCTCCAGTGTATTTTGACATTTCGAGTCATTTCCTTACAATGTTGATTACCCACATAGTTCGCCAAATATTGTTTGACAAATAGCTTAATTTTGTGCTCAAAGTTGCAAAAGTTGCTTAGTTGTTAAAACGGGGTGGTGACGTATGACTATAGTAATTCCATAAGTCATACGTCATTCTCCACGCCTCGTTAAAAAACTGTCACGCCTCATTAAGTCAGAGCATCAAACCGATAAACATTGCTGTGAGCCAACTAACCAATTTATCATGTCATTTACTTACAGCAGGTATGTCTCTGTGTCTGATTGTTGGTTTGTCTTTCTAGTTTAGTGAGCTAAGTTAACTAAGTTGGGAAGTTAGGTAACAGAGGGTCTCATTTTATTTTTTAGTTTCCTCCTCTTGGTTTAGTGTGCTGTTCATTTTCATTATGGCACTTGTCTTTGTCTCGGACATTGAGACAGTCAAGACCATAACTTTGGGAATATCTATAAATTGCTTTTGCATTGTCTGATTTATTTGTTAACATCCAAACGTTGATTGGATGTGAAACGTGTTGCTTCAAATGCAACCGATAACCCTAATGAAAAATGTGTTGTTCCCGTTAATGACTGTCCCCGCGATGGACTGCATGGAAAAGGAGAGTTGAATAAAGATGCTGACGTTGATTTCAGCTCTTAGTGTTTTTAATGGGAATGTGGATCTTTCAGATCAATCTGATCCCACATTTTATCATGTCTCATGTAATATGGGGAACTGGTCTTGGTCTTGACTTGGTCTCGGTTTAGGCGGTCTTGTCTACAACACTACTACTCACTAGATGCCGCTAAATCTTACACGCTGAACCTTTAAGACAGGTGTTTGGTCATAAACCAAATTGTTGGACACATCGACATGTTGAGCTGAGGGTGGCGCCAGATCTCATCCCGGTCTGAACCACATTTCATCACGTCCATCCAATAGAGCTGTTTGAGTCTGGAACAAAGTGGTGGACCCTCCATACAGCCCTGCCGCTAGCAAAGCCAAACATTTTGATGCATATTTCCAATTAAATCTGATGTTATTAGTGAGCAGGAAGAAGGTTAAAGTGAGTCGACGTCTCCTGCTTCAAATCCGAAGCTACACACATGTGGCCTTTTTCTGTTTTCAGCGATACCTTTGAAATTTGGGTTGAGCAGGTCTTTCCTGGCGTTGCACAGCAGAGCGTTGGTGAAGACGAGGTCCAGAGCGCACAGCAGCAGGTGATACGAGTTCACCAGGTCATCGCTGATCATGGGGAAGTTCCCTGAAAGAAAAACATGACACCACATGAGGGAATTTATTGTGTCTTGGGGCTATGTTGGCACTGCAGAGCACAGCGGGCAGGTTTCAGCTCGACTCTCTACTTGTCAAGACATCGGATACACAGAGAAGTGGGCATTAAGAGAGTTTCATGAGCAGGCATGCCAGATAAGAGCAGGGAAAGTAGATCAGTAACAGCACTCTTCCCCCTCTAATAAACCTCCGTGCTCCCCTGGAGCAAGAAACTGATCAGAGATACCGCGAGTTAAACAACCTTCTGGGTTTTTCAAACATCACCAAGTATTAATTTTTCAGTAAACCAGATGCTCTGCGGCTTGAACGTTATGGTCATACATCAGAAAAACAAACTGAAGCCACTCAGGGGCCGCCAGCAGGGGACAGACTCGTCCACTGAGTCCGGCTGCATTGCGTTATCACAGTCTCGTTCTGTCCTCTGTCTGGTGTCAACTTCCACTGGAAGCGTCTTAGACGTTCAGTGCTGCACCCTCTACCCAACCCTAACCAAAGGAGGCAACTACCCAATCAGAGGCGGAGCTGTCGAAACTCTAGAAGGAAACAAAAAGCTGTAAAGATGCGGAGTCTGCGCAGGGTGTTTTATTTTGAAAATTCACTATGATGCAGCTTCCATAAAAAAAAAAAATAACAGACTCGCTGTGAACTTGCATATTTGGTGAGGGAGACCCGGGTTCGATTCCCGCAGGCACAAACAAAAGTAAACATTAACGCAGTCTCTAAACTTCTGATTCACTCACAGTACAAAACGTAATTTTGCTCTCTTAAAAAAACGATGCATCAATCCAAATCTGTCTGCAGGAATTCCTTAAGCCAAATAAGGAGAACAAAATACAAAAATTTAGAATCAGTTAAGTTTATGAGTCGTGTGGACGGACAAACAGAGTAACTAAGTAACACCGGTGAAAACCTAGAGCAAGAAATAAGAGGACTGGGTTGTTGTCAGTGGCAGCGGGACTTTACATGAGGATGTCCAGCTGACGGCAACAAGCCTGAACTCGCCCTCAGATCAGCGTTAAGTCTGTCACACGCTGATCCGGAGCTCTGCAGCCCTGTTAGGTTCTGACTCTGTTAACATTTACATTTATCCAAAGCGACTTACAATTGCTATATGTGTCAGAGGTCGCACGCCTCTGGAGCAACGAGGGGTTAAGTGTCTTGCTCAGGGTCACAGTGGGGGATTGAACCCGGGTCCCTCACACGTCTAACCACTATGCCAGCTGGTTAATACTCACATTCCCATTATGTACATTAAAAAGGTCTTTGGTTGTGCGAGAATGACTTCCAAAGTTTATCTGAAGTTAATTTGAGGCTTCCAAACCAGGCATGGTGTTCATTTAGTAAATTATGGTCGCATTTAGAGGAACACTGACCTGTTAAAATGACAGCTAACGTGAATTACAGATGCACCTAGCCAGGAGAGAAGGAACGAGAAAATATATGTTTCTAGAGACATGAGACGTCCTTTCCACCGAAGAGTCACGTGAAGCGACGTCCGTGTCTGATCACACCTGGATCAGCTGTCAGTCGGCTGTGCGGCGCGTTGGTACTAGCAGCGTGATTCTGTTACCTGTTCAACAAACACCTGCAGGTTTCTGTGTCTCAGAGGCACAGGATCATTTCTACTGATATTATCTGCATTTATATTTACTGATTCTGATGTTAATTCGTTATTGAATAACCCAGAACACGTCCATGGTGTTTGGATTTATTAGGCCAAATGTTTCAGAGAAAGTGAAATGATGTCACTCTAAGTCGACGCTCAGTTTCAGGCTTTTCCGTTTATTTCCTCTTCTGATCCCCTTTAACACGACTGCATACATTTTATGTGCAAATCACATCACTCATCACTGATCGATCATGTCAATCACACGCATTTTTTAGCGCAGCAGCTTTCATTCACACTTACATCAGCTGATTTTAACGCCGGCTGCTTACATCAGATGCAGTCGGTGAGATCAGCTGGATGAGCGGCTTTATTTTCCTTTGCTGCTTCATTAGAGACTTTAGTGCAGTTTAATGACTTGTCTGACTCCTCAGGCTACGTGTTTACTATGTTTTATCGTCGTCTATTTGGACTAAACACTGGAACAACCAGCCTCGCATGTGACTGAATAGAAATGACGATAAATGATGTAAAGCGTGTTTCTTGCAGACAGACTCTCCGACTCTCTCTGACATTAATTGTCTCCAGAATAAAAGTTGACAGGAGAAATAAAAGAAAGAAAAATCTTTCTAATAAATGAAGAAAGTTGTGTGTGGGGCTTTTATTGTTCAGACCTACAGTGAACTCAGATTTTAACTAGACAGTGACTCATAAAATCAAATTTAACACTTTGCAGCGATAAACTTGAGTTTAATGTTATCTGTCGTGACGCATCAGATCAGCTGCAGAGTCCAATCAATATAACTGCTACCCTGTAAGGGGGCGTGTCGGCCAATAAAAGACACTGTCTGCAAGCGAGGAAACAACAAATAAGAGACTTGAGAAGCAGCCTTTGAAAGATCCTTATATAGAGAGCCTAGGTCCCTCCCCTTTCCGCTCTACTGGACTTTATTTTCGGGAAAAGACGTACGAAGGTCAACGACAAGAGACAACAAATGTTTAGATCTTGATCTGGAATTACACTCTTGACGTTTGTCAGTTCAACATACAGTTTAAATCAAGAACGTCGCAGGACTTGTTGGTGCAGCGACTCTAGAGGGATAAATGAAGCAGTAAATCTTTACCTTTGGCATGGACAAACAAAACCCAGCAGAAGTTGAAGACCTCGGTCACAGTGCAGGGATGACGTCTGGAATGAAAAGGGAAATTTAAATAATAGACCCTGAAATACATCAGCCTATTATAAGGACACACGTATATAAAACATATCTAAAGTTGTGATTTTTCCATGTCTGTAACATTTGTAATAGAAATATACAGATATATACAGTATGTACACACACATACATATATATTACATTTATTCATTTAGCTGGCGCTTTTATCCAAAGCGACTTTCAATTGCTGTTTATGTCAGAGGTCACACGCCTCTGGAGCAACTGGGGGTTAAGTGTCTTGCTCAGGGACACCGTGGTGGATGTGAACCCGGGTCTCTCACACCAAAGGCATGTGTCTTATCCACTGCACCATCACCATATATACCCAGTATAGAAAATGAATGTGTGTTTTATGTATCAGTGTTGAGAATGAAATGAGAGTACGGCTGCAACTACCATTAATTTTCACTATCAATGAATCTGTGGATTACTTTCTCGATTTATTAATTATCTTTTAATCTATGAAAAGTAAAAAAAAACATTTAAAAAACTGTGAAAAATGAATTCCCAATTTCTCAGACGGCACTGTAACATCCTTCACTTTGCTTATTTAGTCAGACTTACAGTCTAAAACGTTAAGATATTCAATTTGATATCATATATGAAAAAGCAAAACTTCACAGTGTCACATCCGAAAAGCTGGAACAAGAGATTATGATTAATCGATTACCAAAATAGTTGCTAATGGATAAATTTGTTGACCGACTAAACGATTAATCAAATGAGAGTCTTTGCTCCACTGTACAAACTCCTCCAGTGCAGGAACTCTGTATCATCAGCAGACTTTATTTACTTTGCAGTGAGGCAGCCCGTCCTCACCAGAGAAACGGCCGTACAGGTCGATGATGCAGCAGCTTATTACGACCCGTATTTATGAGTTTAGTTAGGCCGCGACCTCTAGTTGCAGAAAAGCCAGGTGATGTAGTATAAAGGGCAACAAAGTCTGTGTAAGGAGGCGGTGGGGGGGATGGACGAGTCCAGTAAACTCAGGACTTTCACTCAGGAGGCCGAGGTTCGAGTCCCGTGTGAAAGAAAGTCAAAGGTGGCGTGTTTTAATTTAAATAATGTTTTAGGGCTGGGCGATACGGCCAAAAATGTTATCGCGCTAAAAAAAATGAGACTATTCGATATCGGTAATTATCACGATAAATATCAAATCATTAGTTCTTTCAGGTTTAAAGGCAGATTTTTGCTCCTGAGTGACACTGGAAGAAACCAGATGGTTAGTTATGTGGTTTAACTTTTCTTTATGTTCTGAACAGCGAACAGCTTCACAAGTCTGAAGTAGAACATTCAAAACTATTATGATAAAATTATTTTTCTTAATTAATATTTTAAGTGCTTATTTGTTTGTAATTCAAATGAATTTAATAAAATATTTATTGACAACATATTGAACATTTATGTTGTTATTGAGGAAAATTACATTGCGATAATTGTCATTGTTTTATTGCCTAACCCTAGATGACTTACATCAGGTTACTTACATAATGTACTTATTTTAACCTAAACCGAACCAAACTACCACCTTTTTTACAAACTTTACCACATGTTTAACATCCTTTGACTAAGGTAACTTTGCTGAAGGTCGCTGGACTGATACACTCGTTCATGGCGTTTAGGGATAAACAGTCATATATGTCGTTTTGTGACACTTGATTGGGCCGCGCAAAAAAACAATAATGATAATTATCTTGACATAATTTTCCTCAATAACAAAATAACAAATGTTCAATTAATGTTTGATTAAATTCATTTGAATCACGAACGAATCATTACTTATATTTTCTATTAAGATATTTATTTGTTTTGTTTTACTTAACTCGTGCATATTTGTTGAAAACTGATTTTATCAGAATAGTTCTGAATGTTCTGCCTCAGATTTGAGAAGTGATCCGCTGTTTGTTCTGACCAGAAAGAAAAGTTTAAAACCACATTAACTTTTACTCAGGAGCAGAAATCAGCCTTTAAACCTGACAGAAATAACGATTTAACATTTATCCTGATAATTATCGATATCGAATGATATAAAAAAAAATGTATCGTGATGAAATTTTTGGCCGTATCGCCCAGCCCCACGTTTAGGTATGAGGACGGGTTGTGTGAGGATGTTCTGCCATTTTCAACAGTTCACGTCCCTGAAAAGGACCAAAATACCAAACAAGCAACAGCTGATGTTCTGCTGAGGTCACAGGTCACGATGTCCCACCTCTGTTTGCGGCTGCGGTGAACTCGGGGCGGATCCTCCGACGGGGCCTTGAAGATGGCCTTGAAGATGGGAACGTACTTCTTAAAGATCACCGCTGACACGGTGAAGTTTCTCTCCAGCTTCTCGGTGCTCTGACGGAAGTCCTGAGGCAGGTTGGCCATGTCCTGCCACTTCTTCATCTTATTAAAAAACTCAATCAGGCTGCGAGGGAGGACAGAGGAACCAGCAGTGAAATATAAATGTACAATATAACTATAACAGAAACATACAAATAACTTCTCGGCAGTTTAAGCAGACAGCTTCGTACATCACATCACAACATGCCTGGAATTATATCAGGGTGTGGCGGTGTTGTTTTCACAGGCCTCAGGGGAAAAGTTTAACATGTGATCCAGGATCTGCGAGATGACTCTGTCTGTTTGTCTTTAAAGGACTGTACCACAATGATTGGGGGGGGGGGGGGGGGGACATTAGGTTTCCCTCTCTTTGACTTCCCACCACATTTCAAAATAATATTTGTTTATTGACATATTTACCATAAAACTTTAATAGCCCAGGCTTTTATTTGCTTAAATCACTGAACTCACCCGGCCTGTATTTGGAACAAGCCTTTAATTCCTTTACCATGCAGGTAAATCCGAATTGTTTCCGTAAAATGAACTAAACATGCAGGATAAGCGGTTGACGATGGATGGAAATGAACTAAGCAACTGAACTGTGGAGAGATCCAACTATGTGTAGCATGTCTATATTAACAGTCATATTAATATTCACAATCTAAGCAGCTTAGAAGCAGCTAAACCAGGTGACCCGGTGGGCTTTGAGAGGTTTTATACATCCAAGGATCTTCTATAATAACCAGACCAGGCTTCTAATTGAGACCTGCGTTTATTTGTCAAAACGTGGAGCCACACCAGGCCAGTCAAAGCGACAGGAAGCTAACTGGAACTCTGCTTTTAATTTAAGTTTTGTGGTAATTAACACCGTTAAATCGGTACAGCTCGTTTGTCATGTACCCCGATTTGAACCTTAATATTTTACTGTAACTTCAAACGTGCACGTTGATAAAACCCTGATACAGAGACACGGCTGTTGTCCTTAATGGCAAAGTGAACCTTTAAATTATTTATGTAACTGTACTACAAATGAAGGCAGAAATAAAATGTAAACTTAAGACGCACTCCTTCTCAGCCAAAACCAAAAATTACAAAAATGTTCCCATTTTTCTGACCCCGTCTTGCACCGTGATCATTTTCAGGTCGCAGCAGTCCCTGCAGAGTCTGCAGGTGAGTGCACAGGTGCATTATGGGCCTACCTAATTTCTGAGCAGCGTAGGATTCTGGTCAGAGAGACGTAGTTCCCCTCGACGGTGCCTTTTCCCACCGTCGGCACAGAGGACCTGCACGCCACGTAGAGAGCACAGGCCAGCCAGTGCAGCTCGCTGCCCTGCACAGGAGGGAGAACATTTACAGGGAGGGTTAATCACAAGGAAGGAAAAGAAACAGATAAGTGAGAGGGAGACTGTGCAACACATATTTTTGCTGCTGAATATATTAGGGTTGCAGATTGCAACCATTGACTGTGTATAAGAAGTGGGCGTAGTCATGGTGACGTCACCCGTTGGTTTGTGGACCGCTGTTTTGAAGCCTCGAGTTTGGCCAATAGGACGCCGCCGAGTTTTTGCAACCAGCTGCACCGGAAGTGACCATATTTGGACGAGACGGTGGCGCTAGCTAGCTTGCTTAGCTAGATGCATCTGTAGTTCACTTTTAATTAAGCTGATAAGTTTGTCCAGAGAACAACAGTCTAAAAACTACATGTGCTCACCAGAGAAAATGAACAGCCGACTCCTAATAAGCTTTCAATAATCATCTTGTAGCCCCGCCCTAAAGCCTCCCCTGCTTCCTGGTCGCTGTTCCACTAAAGGGGATCATCATTTACTAAATGAACATCATGCTGTGTTGAAGAAGACTTGAAACTAGCGACTGAGACCAGAAACTCATCAGGAAAGTGTTTACTGAGGGAATAAATCAGCTGACAAGTAGAAACATTTTCTCATTATTTCTAATGGAGTTCAACAGGTTTCAGAGATTTCGTGTTCGCATCAGTTCTCTGACCGGAAGCTTCCCGCTTGGTTGCAACTACTGAGTTAATTATTAATGAATTAATCAAATAATCATTTGTCCTCTGAATATAAGAAAGAACTGATACATTTCTGTTGTAATGTCCCAGCACACATTGTTGCTTTAAATGTCTCGTTTTGTCCGAAAAACAGTCTAAAACAACAAAGATATTCAGTTTACCGGTGTGTGACCAAGCTTCCTGTTCTGATCGGTTCTGTTAAAAACTAATGGGGTCACCGGGAGTCCCTCGTAGGGATCCTTTCCATGATGCGGTTAGTCAGAGCCTGTCAACAAGAAGCACTTTTTGTGGACTTTAAACCTGTTGCATCCTCTGCAGCCAGTTCAGCTGCCGGCTGAAGCATCTACTGCATGCAAAACCTTCTGTACCCAACACCAACTTACAGTATGTGAAAGTAAGTTTACAAATACAGGAATAACCCTTTAACTATGTATATACCACGGGGTAAACTCCTGGGTACTTCATTCTACAACAATGCATCGTATTGTCTAAACTGATCATCTGCTTTATGGAAAATCTTAATCAGATAAGCAACTAGTAAGTGCTGTTAAATACATGTAGTAACAAGTCTGTTTGCCATAGTAGTATGAAACACCATAAAATACAATTATTCCAGTAAAAATGTACTTAAGCTTAGTACTTTAGTAGTTGATTTCCAGCAGTGTGCACGAGGGTTTCAGGCTAAAGTTACTCTATAAATAAACTTTATATAATAACCTTCATTAACCATCAGTCAGTCTGCTGTGTGCTGGAAATCCTCCCCTCTAGTGGCGTCCTGCTTATCCACGCAATATAATTACCACGTACTGTTAACATGTACACACATATACTGCATGTGTTTACATTATATCAGAGGGACATGTTTGTTTAGCATCGCAGTAACCTGTTTGTAGAAAGCTAACCATTATATTCATAACAATATGCGCTCAGACACAGTGGTTTAAGGGGTTTTAATGGTTTTAACAAGTCATTCAAACCCAAGACGGCATGTTTTAAACTGTTTTTCTTTTGTTCTGTTACAGTAAGAAGACAGAAAGTTGGCTGGGGTGTAACGTTAGACTGTTAGCTTGCTATAACGTTACGGTAAATATGGTCACGGTGCGAAAGCGGCGCCGGGGTTAGCGGGAACAGCAACGACAGACACAAAAATGAGGGTTAACAGATGAATTTTTGTTTTTTACCTCTAATGTAAAGTTCCTGCTGATGTTTTCGTAGGTCTTCCACGCCTCACTGCTCGCCTCTTCGTCCATATTCAAAGCCCGACACAGATCTTCAAACCCGGTTCGGGCTTTCTGCAAAAAGTCGTCCTCGTCGCTCATTTTTAAATGTATTTTTGGGGCTTTTCTACAAGCTTACCGAGTTAAAAGCGGATTCGATGGAAAGAGAAGAACGCCAACAAGTAAATCAGACCGTGTTTAAGCAGCTATTACCCAGAATATTACCGTAACAGCGTTATTACCGTGATGTAAAAGGTCCACGGCTCTGTACAGTGTGGCCATTTAAAGGTCTTTTGACTGACAGGTAACGCGTAGCCGCTGCGGGCGTACGCACGCTCACATCCCAGTAGTGTTACGTCACTTATGTGCGTACTGTACGTAGAGAATAGCAGAAACGTGCGTCTCTTACCCCAGCCCACTAAACGTGCGTAGCTGCGGCTGGATGGGTGGGGCGAGGAAATACTACTACTTCCGGTTGTTTTTGTTTTGGCAGAACTGCGGTCTGAAAAAGCAGAAAGATTTATTAAATAGTGATTTTTAGAAAGTACGAGCGTGATAATGTTGTTGTTACAGCTTTATAAGCATTTAACGTTTTGGAGTCAGGCGTCGGCTTTTAAAATAACACTACTTTCCGTCAGAAAATCTGCTTCACAGACACAAAGTGTTAGAAAACAGAAGTAACAGACGCAGTAACTCACTGTAGCAAGCACAAATCCTGCGGTGTTGTGTGAAGAAGTACTGAGATCCACTGGCAATACCAGCATAAGAACTCTATTGCAAGATAAATTTCCTACATTCATTATTTTACTTGAGTAGAAGCAGTGGTGGAAGAAATACTCAGATCCTTTTGCAATACCAATATGTAAAAATACTCTATTGCAAGTAAAAATCCTGCATTCATTATTTTATCTGAAGTAAATATGTAAAAATAAAGTAAAACTGGTGGTGATGGAACAGCGGTTGAGATACTTGTCTTTGGTGTGAAAGACCCGGGGTTCGAATCCTCTGCGAGAAACCATTGTGTCCCTGAGTGAGACACTTCGACCTCTGACATACTTAGCAATTGTAAGTCGCTTTGGATAAAAGCAAAATGAATAAATGCAATGTAAAATACCAACATTCATAATTCTACTTGAGTGAAAGTACAGAAGTATTTGATTAAAATGTCGCCTACTGTAAGTATCTAAGTACTTATTATATTGGAGTTAAATTACAGACAGAGGTTTCTTTTTAGTCCTGTGTGAACAAAATGTTTTAAAGTTCTTGTGGACAGTTTATTTTGTTGTACAAGATCAAACATTTTTTTTTCAGGATTTCTGAGGCTCTGTATTAAATATATACCATTAGGGCATTGATATTGTTGACATGTTAAAAAGTTAAACAGCATTTTAATGTAGCTGGTTGAGATGGAGTCATTGAGTGTAACTAACTTGCATGATAAATAAAATATAATTGGTATTAGTGCATTGACTTTGGTGAGCTCATGGAGTCCAGCCTGAACAGGTCCAACTAATAACCACATATTATCACGTGTCCATAATAATCTGCATTATTTTAAGTGTGCAGGACCTTTCGTCTGTAATAATTTTGATCATGTTTGATCTTTAATAATCAGTGACTATGACTGATAAAATAATGCAGTGGAGTAAAAAGGACAGTACTCACCTCTGAGATGTAGCAGAAGTATAAAGCAGCATCAAATGGAAATGCTCAAGTAATATACCTCAAAATTGTCCTTAAGGACAGTACTTGAGTAACTTACTCTCCACCGCTGTATATAATGCAGCTACAAACAGGGACTTTAATGTTTATATACAATAAACATGCAATATAAACTGTATCATGTAGTGTTCTGTTATGGCCACTTTAAACCTGAAGCTGTTGATGTCGTCACGTTCTGCTCTCATGGTTTTATGGAAAAAGTTTAAAGGTTTTATATCATTTTAATAACATTGTACCGAAAACTTGTCTCCTAAAATCCTGACGAGACGACACTTTCATTTAAGGGGCGTTCACAGCTGCCTCATTTGGTCCGGACATCTCAGTTTGATCCGAAACATCATTACATGTGTGAAACCTCCCCTGGTCCACGGCCCGGACCAGACAGACAAAACGTGGTCCACAAAAAGTCAATCCGGATCAAACTAAACCGTGGTCCGGTTCCTTTTTCTAGTGTGAAAGCATTTTTTGGGTGGTTCAGACTTTCAGACTGTTTACAGGAAGTTCCAGTGGTTCCCGTTTAAACCGGAAACAAACAAATCCAATGAAAAGAGGACACGAATCTAAATCTCCTCATGACAGCTCATCTGTTCAAACAGACGACTGCACCGACGCGCCTTTCCTGCCGGCGACGACGATATAACATTCACACAAATATGACGTCAATTTGGCGAATTTGAACTAACCTCGAGTGCAGTCTGTGCTGCAGGTAATAACGCCATAACAACAACGCACTGGCAGCGAGATGCATCTGTTCATTCATTCTAAAGCTAAACTAAAACTGAACTGACAACACGCCGACGCCAGACGCACGGCCGTGTACAAACCAATCAGTGTCAAGTACAGGGAGACGAAGCCCACAGAGATGATGACATGTAAAAGTTCTTTAGTGTTCTCGCATGATTGCAAAGTGAAACTAACTAAAACTAATGTATAAAAACAAAGTTTGGTGCGGCCCTTCAGGCGTGAAAGGGCCATTAGACTCCGAGCCTCTGTTGGTCAAGATCACACAAATCAGTCACACGTTCATCAGCCCTCCTCCAGTCCAGAAGGAACCTGAAGCTGTAACTGACAAAATCAAACTGTTTACACTCCTACAGACGCCTGCGGGAGTCAGGAGAGAAGCCCCGCCTCCCCGCAGGTTCAGTGCTGCAGTATAGTCAACAGGTTATAGGTAATAGTGTCTCTGATGACCTCAGCCGTGCAGTACGTGTCTCCATCGTACGGTTCTGTTTCAGGCTGCCTCAAAGCATTCGCAGAAGGAGCCGAGTCGGCGTTCCACTCGGGGAGGAACCGGTCCCCCCGGTTCTCGCAGATGTTGTGCAGAACGCAGCACGCAGCGACGACTCTGGGCATCATCAAGACGTCGATGTCGCTCTTCTTCTGCAGGCATCTCCAGCGTCCTTTCAGGCGCGTGAAAGCGGAGTCGACCACGGACCGAGCCGAGGAGAGGGTGTAGGTGAAGCGGCGCTGTTTAGGAGACAGCCGGTGCTCCAGGCTGTATCCTTTCATCAGCCATGGCTTCAGAGGGAACGACGCACCACCGATGAGATGCACGGGGATTTCAACGCCGTCGCACATGACAGATTTCTGCGAGAGAAACTTCAGCTGTAAAAATATGAATCACTGGATTTACAGTTTGATCATAAACAGTTCAAATCAGTTTTCAACTTTCAGAGAATTTACTGTTACACCCCCCTCCTCCTCCCAGCAGCCGCACAACTACAACAAGGTAGCCGTACTTTCAATCACCGCCCGCTCTGATTCCTCCCAGATCAGCTCGTTTACGCTCTGTGTGAGCCTGAGTGCAGTTTTGTGTGTTAGGAAATTCAAAGCAACTCACTCTTTACCCCTTTTTCCACTGCAGGAACCAAACAAAATGCACAGCTAACGTGTGGCTGCCTTTGTTTCCGGGTACTTTCAGGGTTGCCGGCAGAGCTGCTGACATGTTGTCCCGTCACAACAAGGACGGCAACGACAAACAAGAAAAACAGTACAGCTGTGGAAAACACTGACATTGGAGTATTTTTCTTTTCTGCAATATGAAAACAAATAAAAAAACCAGACGACTTTAATTTCTCTGTTTGAAAATAATTAAGCGTTCTAGTTGTTGTAGGGGAAAATGCTCAGATAGAGTTGGCGGTGGATCAGCGGATAGAGCGTCCACTAACCAGAAGGTCGGTGGTTCAATCCCTGGCACCTGGGTAAGACGCTGAACCCCAAACTGCTCCCGGTGGGCAACTGGACTTGGTTGAAGACACTAGAAGACATTTCGTCCCTCATCCAAAGGACTTCTTCAGTTCCAGAACTGAAACTCATTTTAGATCTGAAAATGTCTATTTTGGTGAAGTAAACATTTTTAACTTGGGCAGTTTGCTGCTTTACTTTGGTTCCATTTCAGAATCAGAAATATTTTATTGATCCCCGAAGGGAAAGTCTATAAGATTTTAAGGTTTGTCACAGAAGAACTACAAACATGGAGGCTGTTTCTAAACCTGTTGACCTGCAGAGTTGATCTGTAACATGCCAGTTTATAAAAATGCAGTAAAGAAAATACTAGCTCGTAGGAAGCTTCGAGGTTATTGGCTGTTAAGTTCCTGCAGTGGAGGAACAAGGTTCCCGCCTTGTTCTGTGTGCAGCCAGGGTCGTGTGTATAAAATGTGTTTTTGTTCCCTCAGCAACGTGCCAGGAGATGTTTGTGTGTGAAGGGGACTCTGCACTCACCTCTCTGGGGAACAGGTAACCGTCTGGGCGGTCCTCTGCTCTCAGGTACAGGTCTGAGCTGGCCAGCACAATGGCACTGCTGGTACTTCCAGGCCAGCCGGCGTACACATCCGTGAAACTGCACAAAAAACACACGTTAACCCTGTAACAGCTGTTCTCAGAGGACGACATGAGCAGGTGGCGTGAGTGACGGCGAAGGTAAATTTCATTATCTTTGATGTTTAGACACAAAAACATTGAAAAAAAAAATAAAATAGAGTTTGTGTAGCAACATCTAAAGAAACATATTGATGTGTTAAACATATTTTATGGTCACGTATTTTTGGTTCTTTTGGTTCTTTTGGTTCTTTTGGTTGCCTCAGGGCAACTTTATGCAGTCAGGCTAGTTTTTTTTTTTAATTGGCACGAAGTGTGAGTAAAAGAAAATATTAAAAAAACAATTAAATTCATAAATAAATAAAATTAAATAAATAAAATAGTAAATGTGTGTGATTAAATAAAAAATAAACAAACAAAATAAAACAGTAAACATGTCTGTGATTAAATAAAAAATAAACAGTAAACATGTCTGTGGTTAAATAAAAAATAAAACAAAATAAGCAGTAACATGTCTGTGATTAAATAAAAAATAAACAAACAAAATAAGCAGTAACATGTCTGTGATTAAATAAAAAATAAACAAACAAAATAAGCAGTAACATGTCTGTGATTAAATAAAAAATAAACAAAATAAGCAGTAACATGTCTGTGATTAAATAAAAAATAAACAAAATAAACAGTAAACATGTCTGTGATTAAATAAAAAATAAACAAACAAAATAAACAGTAAACATGTCTGTGATTAAATAAAAAATAAACAAACAAAATAAACAGTAAACATGTCTGTGATTAAATAAAAATAAACAAACAAAATAAGCAGTAACATGTCTGTGATTAAATAAAAAATAAACAAACAAAATAAGCAGTAACATGTCTGTGATTAAATAAAAATAAACAAAATAAACAGTAAACATGTCTGTGATTAAATAAAAAATAAACAAACAAAATAAACAGTAAACATGTCTGTGATTAAATAAAAAATAAACAAAATAAACAGTAAACATGTCTGTGATTAAATAAAAAATAAACAAACAAAATAAACAGTAAACATGTCTGTGATTAAATAAAAATAAACAAACAAAATAAGCAGTAACATGTCTGTGATTAAATAAAAAATAAACAAAATAAACAGTAAACATGTCTGTGATTAAATAAAAATAAACAAAATAAACAGTAAACATGTCTGTGATTAAATAAAAAATAAACAAACAAAATAAACAGTAAACATGTCTGTGATTAAATAAAAAATAAACAAAATAAACAGTAAACATGTCTGTGATTAAATAAAAAATAAACAAACAAAATAAACAGTAAACATGTATGTGATTAAATAAAAATAAACAAACAAAATAAGCAGTAACATGTCTGTGATTAAATAAAAAATAAACAAAATAAACAGTAAACATGTCTGTGATTAAATAAAAATAAACAAACAAAATAAACAGTAAACATGTGTGTGCTATAGAAAAGAAAAGCAAACAATTAAGTATCAAATGTGAAACATAAAAAACAAATTATCATGTAAACCCATTAAGTATTTATGGTTCCTTTTTTCAAGGAACAATTCTTAAAATAACAAACAATAAAAATAATAATTTGAAATTTTTATAGTACAATTATTTAATTTATCAGTCTTGTTTGAGTTTCCACTGGTTGTCTTTTGTTGTAACCACAAGGGTAACATGGGGTAAGACCCCCCCCACGGTGATTCTAACAAAAAACACAAAATGTCACAATCTTTTCCCCTTAACATTTCTTTTTTCTAATTTTTAAAGTTATTTGATCAAAGCCATTCTGACCTAAGTTGATCAAATTTTTTTGTAATTTAAAATAAGCTGTAATTTATATATATATATATATATATATATATATATATATATATATATATATAAAATCTCAGATCCATATTTTGCCATAACCAGGTAGCTGTCCTAGTGTACAGGAACATCTGCCATGAGTATTGGCTGGAAGTCCCAAGGTCAAAATGGAAGACACCTCCTAAGGCAGGTATCCTTAAGATAAGTTTGTTCAGAGAGAAAGCTTTTTCTAGTTTTTGGTTAAAGTAGTAAAATGCTAGATTAGTATGTTTTAGGTTGCTGTGCCCCTTCATTTATGTAAGTTAGATGTTATTTAGACACTGGATAGACCGTTCAGCCAACCAGCAGCTTCACTATCAGAAAGTCTGAGGTTAAATTCTGAGGTTATAAACTAAAGTCTTACACACTATAGTAAAAATACGTTTTTCCTTAAAAAACTACATTTGATTAAATACAAATTAATTTTTTACTGTAGATATTCATTTTACTTTATAATATGTTACCCTAAGCATGGTCTTCTTAAAGATATATAAAAAAATATTAATTTATGTGTCAGAAAATAGACATTGAGCTTTGGGGTTGTGTTTTACACACCTCTACCCTACTACACATCACCGGGTGTTTTTAATTTTATTTAAATTTTGTTAATTTGTCACCCAAATCTTATTTAAATAACATAACATTTTTTGCAGTAGAGGGTTCACTTAAAACCCTCTGTTTGACTGCCCGGTGCGGGGCGGTGCCTACCACATGTTGTGGTCCACCACGGCCTGCAGGATCACGGAGTGCCACCCCCTCTTGTTGATGTAGTGCTCCGGGTTGTTCCTGGGAGCAGCTATGGGGATGTGGGTCCCGCCGATGGCCCCCGCACACTGCGGGTAGCAGCGGTCCCTGAAGGCTTTGATGGTTTCGTCCAGCCGAGGTCCGCTCGGCAGCGACACGAACCGCTCGTACAGCCGGTCCACTATGGCCGAAGTGACCTGACGCACAATCACGCACACGGTCGCGATCCCCACCCCGAACAAGCTGGCGATGGAGCGATACTCCCCGGACCGGGCGAACCACCACAGCGTGATGGCCAGTCTGCGGCGCGGCTCGATGGGGCGCCGGTAGTTCGTCCGGCGACGTTTGATGGCCGCGCCGACCTGTTCGACCAGGTAGTCGAACGTCGCTCGTGACACGCGAAACTGCGCTTTCCACTCCTCGTCGTCGAACGACTCGGCCGACCGCCAGAAGTTCTGGCCGGCGCTTCGGTTCCGGACCCATATGGGCCTGTTGGTGGACGTGATGAGGCTCAGAATGGCGGCGATGGAGGACAGCAGGAAAGCCCTTCGCCGCCGCAGATAGTGGCGACGCCGCCGGTCCCGGTCCACCATCTCCCGGACCCTGTTCCGCCTCAGCAGGGCCGTCTGGACCCGGTACAGCTCCAACATCTGGTTCCCGAACACCGGGGGGACATTTAAGTTTAAAATGGAGCAAAGTAAAGCCGCTCTTAGGGACGAGTTCGGCTCCGAGTTCGGCTCCATTTTGAACTGGCGGTAAACAAACTTAAGGGCGCCTAGTTATGACGTAGCCGACCGATTCTTTTGTAGTTTTACGGCGCCACCTTCCGGTTTCATTCTTCAATGGCTAAACACACATTTACTGTTTCTGTCCTGCTTTATCCTCTTTTTTATTTTTCCATTTAACGCTTTTAAAATTTGTTTTAAAAAGTTTATTATATATTTCCGTATGTTGCTTTTACGTAAAGCACTTTGAACTAAACTTCCCTGAGCTCTTGGTAGAGGATATCTGGTCAGGAATTAAAGAAGTTCATATGCTCTCCCCACTGCTCTTCTCCCTCTACACCAACGACCTCAGGAGACCCATCTGTCAAACTCCTGAAGTTCGCTGACGACACCACGGTCATCGGCCTCATCCGGGACGGTGACGAGTCGGCCTACAGACAGGAGGTTGGTCAGCTGGTTCTCTCTGGAGATGACCGTGGACTTCAGGAGGAGCCCCCCCCACTCTGCCCCCCATCACCAGACTCAACAGCCCTGTGGCTGCTGTGGAATCCTTCAGGTTTCTGGGATCCACTATATCCACCAGGACCTGAAGTGGGAGCCCAACACTGACACCATCATCAAGAAGGTCCAGCAGAGGACGTACTTCCTGCGTCAGCTCAACCTGCCTAAGGAGATGCTGAACCAGATCTACACAGCCATCATCCAGTCTGTCCTCTGCACCTCCATCACTGTTGAAAAAGGACAGGAGCAGACTACAACGGACAGTCAGGACTGCAGAAAACCTGCCCTCCATTCAGGACTTCAGTCAGGAAACGGGCAGGAAACATCAGTGCAGATCCACTTCACCCCGTACACAACCTGTTCCAGCTCCTCCCCTCTGGTAGGTGCTGCAGAGCACTGTACGCCAAAACCAACAGACCATCACTCTGATGAACAGCTGATTTCTGACTCAAAGTGTCAGGAACAATTCCAGTAACTCTGCCTCTAATCAGCACCTGTTTACTGGTTTCCACTTATTATTTATTTATTCACCATTCTCTATTTCAGAGCTGCTCTTACTGTTATATTGTATATTTTATATACTGTATATCAAATCCACCTGCCTCAAGTCATAACTCCTGCACAAAATTAAAATTTATTTACAAATTTATTCCTGCACCCTTTGCACTCTGATCACTGCACTATTTGAAATGTAAACGCTCCGTACTTGTATAGCGCCTTTCTAGTCTTTTCGACCACTCAAAGCGCTTTTACACTACATCTGCATTCACCAGTCACACACATTCATACACTGAGCCTAAGTGCTCAAACGGAAACTAACATTCACACTCACTCATACACTGGCGGAATAGCCGCCAGGGGCAATTCGGGGTTCAGTATCTTGCCCAAGGACACTTCGACATGCAACCAGGGGGAGCCAGGGATTGAACGGCCAACCCGCTCTACCTCCTGAGCCACAGCTGTCTATACTGTAGTTTGTGTCTGATTTTATTTTATTATTATTGTGCTATGGTATTTTTGTATGAGTAAGCACATCGAGAGCAATGTACAATCCTGAGTCAAATTCCTCGTATGTGTCGACACACCTGGCGAATAAAGCTGATTCTGATGAAACGTTTACACAGACACTGTCACTGTAATTACTTATTATGTTCTTTCTGTAAACTAGAAGTTGAATCTATTCATCTTTTGATTAATTGTACTTGTATTTAAGAATTCTTCAACTTACTAGAAGTTTTCACACACAATCCAGATGATTCTGTAAGCCTGTTGGGTGTTGATAAATTTCAGATCCATAATAAGGTTAGAACGCTTCAAAATACTCCCAACTTTAATTTGTTTTGTATTGAATTACAAATCCACTCCGTCTCTAAGTTACTGTCAAACATAAAAGCCATCAAATCCTCTCTAATAAGCGGCAAAGTACTTAAAAAAAAAAAAAGACACACTTAGGCACAATTTCTGAAACTATTTGCTGCCAAACTCTACATACTAACCACAAAACTGTATACAAAAAAGCATCTCTTGCAAAAATTTAAATGATAAACTTTCTGTGTGTTGGGCCTATAAGGACTTCAGCAGTTTGCAGTAAAGTTTTGTCATGCATGCAGTAAAACACACAGCTGTCCAAATATTTAAAGAATGGACATTTATTCCCAAGAAAAATGTTTTATTTTACTCAAGATGTTCTACTGTAAGGCTCCTCCCACAAAAGCTCAGCAGAATAAAACAAAAACATTCATCTGGCTGTCACAGTTCAGAGGCAGGTGGACGAGCTAAACAGGCTTACAGGCAGGCAAGAGTCCAAACTGAGGTTGCTGTCCGGCAAATGCAACGTAAACTCCAGAATAATCCAAACCGTGCAGAAATCAGCAGGGAAATCCAAACAGGACTTAAGCAGGCAGAACACACGAGGACAAAGACTGAACCAGAAGTTAGCAGGGAGGGAGTGCGTGAACAGGTGGGACACATCAGGTCAATCAGGGAAGACAAAGACAGGAAATAAAGCTTAATGAAGAACACAGAGAGGGAGATGTTATCAGAGTAAAACAGAGAGCAAAGCGTGCAACAAAACACGAGGATGGATTTCACAAGGTAACCACAGAACACAACCACAGAACCCAGGCAAGGTCAGGAACTGAAAACCACAACCATGACACCCGTCTTCTTGGTGGGTTTGGCTGATTTCATCCACATCACTTGCAAAGTTTTAATGATCTGGAAGTGTTTTCACACGTGCAGAGCAGCAAGATAGAGACCAGCAGAGTGTAAAGCAGAGAACGAGCGTTAACATGCACTCGTCAAAACTGAAACCTTCACTTTGTCGAAACTCTTCACACAGTCAGAGAAACAGAAGTGTGTTTGGACCAAACTGTGAATCATTTTTCACGCAAAATATATTCAGTGACCACTTTCTCCAAAATCCATGAGCTGTTTTCTCATTACTGCTCCACCGCCTGCAGCTTTTCTGCAGCAACCAGACTGAAATATATAGAAAATCATAAATCCCTTTTTTTTTGTTAATCCTTTCTTTTACTAAATCTTTCCATATATTTGGACTTTTATGTTTGCTGACAAAAGATCCCAAACTCAATCAGACTGTAGAGTAGAACTGCAATGATTAGCTGATCGATAACCGAAAGGGATGCTGGGTTTATTTGACTTCTGTGATATTAAACTCAGTTTTCTTTCCATCAGATAAAACAAGCGATCTGAAAATGTCACTTTTTAGGAAATTGTGGTTTTTCGGATATTTTACAGACTAAGCCATCAATGACTTGAGAAAATGACGGACAGATTAATCGATAATGACAATAATCGTTAGTTGCAGCCTTAGTCAAAAAGAACATTTAGAAACTTGTGAGAAATCTCAGTGAAAATGACTCTGCTGCTTCCTTGCAGTCTTGAGAGTGAACTGAGAAATGCTCCTTCAGACTAATTAGGACCCGCAGGTTCACTTAAAATATTAGTAATAAAAAAACTAATGAAAATTGAAGAGAAAAGAAAAAGGTAGAACAAAGCAAACATAAAATAAATGAACAGATTTAGTAAATAAAAAGATTTAAAAAAAACAAATCAGACTGTGGAGTAGAACTGCAAATATTAGCTGATCAGTAATCAAAGAAATTCTTTTTCCACCTGCAGCTCAAATGTGAATTTTTGCTGGGTTTGTCTTATGTGATGTTTACCTAAATATTTTTGAGTTTTGGACTTTAAATCAGAAAATAACAAGCGATTGAAAATTTCTACTTTTTGGAAAATGTGATTTGTCTGGAATTTTACTAACTAAAGCATAAATTTCTTGAGGAAATGACGGACAGTAATGCCAATAATCGTTAGTTGCAGCCTTTGTCAAAAAGAACATTTAGAAACTCGTGAGAAATCTCAGTGTTGTAAAGATGACAGGTGACTCTCAGTCTTGCTCTGCAGTCTTGAGAGCGTGAGCTGGCCCTGAGTCCTTGTTGCAGCAGGGTCCAGGTTTAAGGATCCAGATCCTCGACAACAAACGGAGGTGTTGACAGCGCTGATCCAGGCTGACCTGCGGGCCTGCAGGAGGCGTCGCTCCCAGCAGCGACGACAGCTGAAGCTTCAGAGGAACGATGCAGCTCCTGAGCCGCTCTGATGCCCGCCTCTGAGCCGCTGGTGTTTCCCAGCATGCCCCTGACTGACTCAGGTGGAGCGTGAGGCCGGGCCGTCTGCTGTGGGGAGGCTCGGCCTGCAGGGGGCCCCCTTCCTCCGGGCTGCTGCAGCTCGGACCCCTGACACACCAAACAAATGTGCACAAACAAAACCTGGGGGGACTGAACCCTGCTGAGGGACTCTGAAATCATCCTTTGTCCTCATTTAATGTAAATATATAAGCTTTAAAAACAAGTAATTCAGTATAAAATGAACAGTTTTCGATTTCTTGACTGATAAGCAGGCCCGGCCTGTAGACGTACTGTAGGTGTTACTCACACTTTGTGAAAGCATTTGCTAAAAATGTTCTGAAACATAGCTTACAGCAAGAAATCAGATCAGAATCAGAAATACTTTATTGATCCCCGAGGGAAACGTCTTTGTTACAGATACTCGTTTGCACATCAAGGCATAAAAGGAATAGAAATAATAGCAGAAGTTAGTAAGTAGAGAATGTAAAAAAGAATATAATGAATTTGGATATTAACAGTATTATACAGTATTAACAGACCTGTAATGAAAATAAATAGTGTAATAATTATGAATGCTTTGTTTATTTGCACTTATTTATTAATTTAACTTAAGCTAAAAAAAAATACAAGCTTAAGATTATAAAACGACCCCAAAACGTGCGTCAGTCAGCAACTTTACTGTAACTTCTTGACACAGTTTTGATTTTATTTTGTTTTTGAGAAAAGAGGAGGGAATCATGACTCAGCAGGGATGATATTACACGAGAAAGGTTGATCTACAGATATGAAAGCAACACAGACTGACCGAGAGCTGCACTGACTTACATTCTGTTAGAGGGTCGAGTTTGAACTGTCGCCTG